ATTTGATATTTGTAATATAATAAAATATATACAGCTTAATATCCAAATAGTTTCATAGTTCCAAGACAAAATAACACATACATTTAATGTCATTATGTAAATTAATCTTATAAAATTATAACGATATCTTTACATGATTGATATTTAAGAAAAATGATATGAGGGGTCTTAACAAGAGTAATAGAAGCTATACACTGATTTTATCTGTCTGTCTGTTTGATCTGGGATCACACAAAAACAGCTGCACCAAATTGAATGCTGTTTTCAGTATTGTGTTCCTGAAAGTTTAATTTAAAATTTGGTATGCCTATATTTTATCTTAGTTTTCCGATTTCTAAGGTCCACGCGTACAAAAAACGGCAAAAATCTAGTATTAATTTAAAAAATATTAAACTGTAACAGCACAAAGACTTATATATCATATTTTATGTTTTTATTTCGTTTTACTAGATTCGTCATATTTCCTAGTGTGTGCTATGTTTATATTTATGTGTATGTATATGTAGTACATATTATTTGTTATAATAAGTAGTCTAATAAATAATATGTCTTTGATGTTTTTGTGCATTATACGTAAAAAATATTAATTCACTCTTGCGCCAATATATTCTTCTTTAACCAATGGTTGTCTGTAAGAGATTGCCCTAGCGATGAGACTGCCTTTTGTACCTTTATATGTATACTTTAACTTGTACTTCATGCTACTGTATTGTTGAATTGTATATATGTCATTGTTTATTTTTATGTTTTTGGTGCAATAAAGAATTAAATAAAAAAAAATATATCAGAAGGGTCATTTGCGAAATTGGATCAGAAGGGTTGTTCGTTAGTAACGAGTCACGTTATATAATTTCCCGTGTAGCCTCGCTCACCTAATGTGAAGCCTTAAGACGGATTACGTTTATTTTCGTACCATACAACCCTTTCGCGGCATTTACCTACTTATAACTCTTTAATATAGCTGTTACAAGTACCGGTATTATGATGTACAAACATTTAAAATACTATATAAAGAATTAACTAATATCCTTTATTCATAAAAAAAAAACAACTTATTTCTATAAGCCTATTTTAATTATTACATTGTTTTGTCACTGTCTTTCAAATTGAGAATTAAACAAAAAAAAGAGACAAAACAATTCAATAGCTATAATAATAGGTTTATGAGAGGTTTATCGTTTTTATGAACAAGAAGGTAATACGGCTGTGAAATAAGTATATATAAAAAATTACATGCTATACAAATTTAGATCTCATTACCTGTACAAAATAACACAACGATAACACAACAAGAGACCTTGGACATCTATTACAAATACACGATTTATAATCACAATAATTACATATATCTTGATTACATTTACAATAACAGAAAGATAACAGCAGTTTTGTGTATCTCGTGAGCGAAATTACCTCAGGCTTTTACTTTATTACCTACCTAGGTATCGACTTTATCAATGATCGTCTGTGATGATGCCATACTCCAAATCCTTATAATTCGACTATTATTGTATTTAAATAAAATGCAAAACATTTGGAAAATCTCAAGAAAACATAAGTAATTTGCATTTATAAATATTGCAAGGACTCGAGTTACAATCCATTCCAGTCCATTCTTTCTAATAAGAAAAAACTTTATCGAGGTGATATACTATATACGTGTAACGGAACGCGTATAAAATCATAATTCAGCCATTGTATTTTTAGATAGTAATATTTTATTAACTTTCCATACATAACGTGCAGCCACATGATCGATTCAGTATGATGGATTAAAAAATATTTGCATATTTCGCTTTCAAACCTAATGTATAACCTATTCCTTGGGAAAAGGTATAGATTTTTAAGAATACCTAGTACTATTGCTGGATTATCCTTTCCGTTACACGTTGTAAGAGTAGATATGTAAAATAAAACGACAATTTGGACAACGTTATTAAATTCAAGGTTCAATTCAACTTCAACTACTATCAAATATTATCCGATCAATCGAATTCTATACATTTTTAAAGCAAGTTTTCGAGTTGGTCGATTTGTTGATTTTAACACATGGTGGCCCTCACGAATATATAAATAGAAAAATCCAACTAACTATATTAGTGGAATTAAAACCATCAATATAATACTTCACATTTACTGTGATAAGACTAACTGGACAAAGAATTGTTTAGCTTATTTTAACTAGCTACTCGTAATTCGGTCAGGAGTTACATTTACAACTTTTCTCCTGTTGCATTGGGTGTATTATACGTTGACCCTAGTCGCCTCCTATTTTTTTTTAATGGATGATAATGGAATGGTAACCCCACCCGCGCTATCGGTATACACCGGCGGGGCACCAGTGAAGAATGATAGATGAGGATGAAGCAGGCCAGTTAGCCCATCGTGACGAATTCAACAAGAATTGTTCACAATAGTTTCCAGGGGGAACCACGTGGAGCTCGACCTAATAGGGCATATTGCTAGCAATGGGGCTGTCAAACTCCATTGTTAACGATCCCTTTCCAACCAGTCGCCTCCTATTAATATATTGGGGATGAGAACGTGCGATGACGCATTGTAATTTTACTCCGTCACGACATATAAATGGATCAGGCATATAAATTACATCATATCTAAGCTTTCTGATGTACAGTCAAAAATCAGTTTGTATTGAACACCCACGCCTAACGTTTATTAAACAAAAAGCATTGATTGGAGAATTACTGACCGTCAATGATAGAGCTTGACTCAACATTATCATTGTTGTAATATTTATATATTCGTTTGCTTGGGTACCTTTGTCCCATTCGTGTTTCAACCGTGAAGCGGTTGTGTTTGCATGGCTGTGTTTCGATTTGAAGGGTGGGATATGGCGTGAATTTACAGGGTACAGAGAAATAACACCTGAGTCCTCAGGAATGGCAACGCATGGGGGGTATCATGGGCGAAACAGTATACCTACTCTGTTATGTCCATGGTACTGCTCATGTCTATAGGCACCGGTTACCATTTTGCATCAAGTGGGCCGTCAGCTTGTTTACCATTCTAAGTTGTATAAAAAAAAGTAAGTAGAGAATTTTACAAAGATGAAAATCACTAAATCTGACCTAGCAGTCAAGAACAACACTAGTTTAAAATAAAGAAGAATATAGATAGATAGACAGATAGATACTCTTTATTGTTTCCTCCAAAAGATTACAATAGTGAACTTATTATAAATATAAATAATTACAAGAAATAATATAAACAATTACAATACATTACTTGGTTAAGCTCTTAAAAAGTCAACAGTTCATCTATTTATCTATTCTTCAATCATATTCATTTTAAATTCGAATTGAAACATGTATTATCATTTACGTGTGAATTTCGGTTCTCATTGGATAATGCTTGTTTCTGCACTGTTGCATATGTGTGTATGTATGTTCATTGAATGGAAAGGTGCTATTCGACTGAAGGTCAAAGGCACTACATAGCACAGAGTCATGAACGCAACCGTGCTTTAAGGAAACATAATAATATTAATATACTCTGTAAATAAGAGATTCTCTTTAGAAAAATTCTTGGTAAAAAAAAAATGGACGGAAATTCATCATGTTTATCTGTTCGTGTGACCATTTGTCCAAATGTTTGATATCTGCTTTTTTATTAACTACAGGTTAAAATATAAATAGGTATTATAATTTAAAATTTTGGTCACGACACACCTCTACTCAAGAGCTAGTTGAACTCGACTAGGTTAGATATATACTCATACAAGGTTAGGCGTTTCATTCAATATGTTTACATTATATGCCTACTCGTATATTGTGTTCCTGTTAATGGATCTAGACCTTTCCATGATATTTTTGGGGGATTATAGAAAAAAACGTATCTAAGCAGGTAAATACCTGCTTAAATAGATACCACTTTCCTTTTCAGTTAACATAAGTAAAGTTAACTGAAAAATGGTAGGCGAATTAATAATAATAATAATAATAATAAGAATAATAACTTTATTGTAGCTAAAAGTCGGGTATACAATTTCTTATACAGTGATTACTACACTAATTCCACGAAACATATGAATACACAATAATGAACACAACGACACCTCAAAATACACAAATCCTAACATGCCCAGAGTGCCGTCCTCCACGCGGTTCCTCGTGGAAACCATCGTGGTTATTTCTGGTCGAATTTGTAACGATGGGCCAATTGGCCAATTGATCTGATTTTATCCTCACCTATCATTTCTTACTGGTACCCCGTCAGCGTATACCAATAGCGCGGGCGAGGGAACCATTCCATTTTCATCCCATAAAATAGAATTGGTGTCGACTTATGACCAATCATCCAATATAAACGTTTTCTTTATCTGAATAATCACATACTACAAAGAAATTATTAAATACAGATAATCCATTGTCTAATTTTAATAAACGCAATTAAAACTAGATATGTACATGTATTTACATTTTTACATATTATATATTCATAAAACATCGTTGTATGCAGGGTCGTTATTGATCTCACATATTGTCTGTTACCTGCGTGGGAAGTTTCATTTATCCTCATATAAACGAGTTATATGTAAAATTTTCTCAAATATACCCAGCTATTTTTGAAAAGACTCGAAATAAGTATATGTAAATGTCGTTTACATTAAAACAATGTTCTTCATAAATTGAATTGTATTGAACGCATCAAAATTCTGAATAGTTACTTTCATATAAGAAGACTTAGTATCTACTTCTTTTAGGTGCGTTATCGCTTTACACATTTCAATCTTGTTTAATACAATTCATGTCATTGTCATGTATAATTTCACTCTTTTATCTTACATTGCTGTACTTAGATTACGCCATAGACTGACTGTCAATAATAAACGAGCCCAGGCTTGCATCTATCAAGCCTTTAAACATTTTTTCTTTTTCTTTTTTTGTTTCTTTTTTTTATTCAATTTAGAATGGCAAACAAGCTGAAGGCCCACTTGATAGAAAGTGGTGACCATCGCCTACATTATGATAAGTACTCACGTATCAGATTTGCAGCAGCACACCGAGTGGAATGTGGTGGAGACAGCAAACAGTAAACATAGCGCCAACCCATAGACCACCGCCGCTATTGCTTGGGGGGCGTTCATAGAACGTGTCAGCAGCTCGCGAGCCCCGAAAGACGCCGGTGCCACGCATAATGCGTGCGTACACACATTCGCTACATTCTCCACCTGTGTAATAGAATTTAGTATATTGAGTATTGCAAAATTTAGAAAAAAAAAAACATTGATGAAGGACATTAAACATTATTAGAGGGAGACTTAGTACAAGAGGCATGTTTTCTTAAAATGCATAGGTACCTCTGTCCCACTCGTGTTTCTGCTGTGAAGCAGATGTATGGCCGTGATATATATATATCGATTTGTAGAGTGGGATATGGCAGAGAGATTTCAGTTTACAGAGCCATAACACCTTCATTTCTTAAGAATGGCTACGCAGGGGCTAGAGCGTCATATTGCATTCTGTACTATTCATAGTACTTAGGTTAGTGTTGGGGATCTAACAACCCCATTGCTAGCAATATACCTTATCAGGTCGATATCCGCGCGATTCCCAATCAATAAACAACCTTGGTTAATTATCTATTAATTCGTTACTATGGACCAAGTGACCTGTTTCATCCTCACCTATTATCTTTCACTGGTGCCTCGCCAGCGATACGGATAGCAAAGACGGAGTTATTATTCTATTATCAACCATGAAAAAAGTACTATAAGCGTGTTTTTTTATGCAACTTAGAATGGCAAACAAGCTGACGACCCACCTGATTGAAAGTGAATAATACCCTGGACATAACAGAGTACACTGTTTCTCGCATATATTATAGCAATATACCCAACCAAGTCGACCTCCTCGTGGTTCCCCCTGGAAACTATCATGGTTAATTCTTGATGAATTCATCATGACGGGCTAACTGGCCTGTTTTCATTCTCATCGATCAGCCTTCACTGGTGCCCCGCCAGCGTATACCGTTAGCGCAGGCGGGCTTTCCATTCCATTTTCACCCATCAAAAAGCCTTCTTGTTAGCTATATTAAGTTGTATAAAAAAACCTAATATGTACAAAAGAACAGGTTAAACGTTGCTTAACCGTTGACCGACTAACAACTAGGTACAATTTGTGTAAGCGCTTTCGTTCGGTTTCGTGCGTGTTAGTAAACCGTTCATTACAGTTTTAACTACCGAGGTAACATAAAATTTGGGAGCAAAGTTCAGGAGCCCTAAATGGCTATTATTTGACCGACTGGGCCTCATGTCGATAATCAGAACCCACCGTCGTAAAAGGTCGGATTAAACGAAACGGGATAATTGATAGAAGGATAAATAAAGACGCATGATAAAAATAGCAACATTTTTTCTGATACAGTAACGTTATATATGAACGTCCATTGTGGAATTTGATAGGTTCATGGTTAGCAAATGATAAAAGAGGATGGATAAAACATAATATATAAAAAGAATTCGCCTTTTTAGTGACTTTTATTATAACTGTAGCGGGTGGTGTAATCCTATGAATATTAGAAATGCGAAAATTTGTAAACATGATGGGATGGATGGATGTTTGTTGCTCATTCATGCGAAAACTACTGAATGCATTTGAGTGAAATTTGGTACACGGATTTGGTATATCCCAATAATACAGCAAAATCACCAGATTAAATATTTATTTATATAGGTAGGATATGTTTTTCTTTATGGACTTAATTTTTATCTAAGAAAAACTGGCAAGGAACTCGACTATTGTTCTTTCTAAATCAGTTTAAGATAACAATACTATCTCTCTCCGGTCATCTTCAAAATCGTAGCTGAAAGCTAGCATTTTATTTATAATACTTAGAACCAGTAAACAAATAAGTTTACGGTCCACCTAATTGAATGTGGTAATATTCGATTTTTAAATGAAGTTACAAATGGATCTAAATTATGTTTGGTGAAAACACACACATACGGATATTTTCATAACATCTGATGCATGTGTGGGACAATATCGTACCTATTCAATTTTGAAGCGACTTAAAAAGATGAAGGTTTGAGGACATATATTATGTCAATTAGGTACCTCTTACTAGATTTTTATTTTTAAACCGTAGTTCATGCCTATAATGCTTATTATGCGCATTATGCGATAATACAACCCGCTCTATTTTCTCCCCATCATAATGTCGGTATTGGGCTCAGCACAGAACAGATTTTTGCAATTTTTTGGCAATGACTGTTATCATCAGACGGTCTATATAGTTGATTGCCATATAGTAGTATAAAAAATATATATACGCGAAAGATGGTCCTACATAGATCTTCTACTACATTGTGATTATGTTACCCTAATTTAGAAACATCAATGGTCATGAATTTGAATAACAGTACGACTGATATTATCAACTTTGTATCAATTTAAATTTCAGATTAATAATATGGCCGCACCAATGACTTTCTAGGCATCTATTTAAATATAATACTAACTTTTCGGTGTTAGAAATCTCTAATCAAACAAATTTAGTACATGGATACATCCACAATCCATATAGGTATATAGGTAATACTTGCCACAATAAATTTTAATATCTTCAAAAATATGCAAACAAATTGAGTTATGCCACATCAGCAACAAATGTCATCGATCAATCAACATTTGACTACTTTATATCACAATATAATTATACTTACCACTCCTTTAATAAGGTGAAATCTAAGTAAGTCCAATAGTACAGCACCCATTAAAATAAGGATATCAATGGACTGGTAAAGTAAAAAAAAAGAAATTGATGAATTCACATGAGAAAGAATGTGAATATATTCACTTTATGTCTATAATATTACACTATTAAATTTTGTTTTAATTTTATGAAATATTGTGATCTATTTACATGCATAACAAGAGTGTGCATCTATCTATACGGTAATATTTAATATAATTTTTAAGGAGGTGAGCACTCTAAGGAGGCAATTAGCACATAGTAAATTTGGTCATTTTACTAATATACATATTATAAAAAAGTTACATTAAAAATAAAAAGTGAAGGAGCTAGTATTAAAGCATACTGATTTACATGGATAAAGAAAATTTGAATTATTAAGTATCTTCAATTTTGAAATTAATCTGACCAAGTTTCTTTCCTACATTTATTAATATTTGTTATATAATACTTTCTATATTTTTCTTATTATCAAATAATGCTAAAAAAATTTAATCTAGGATAATTTAATACTCTAAGGCTACAGACTACATGTTTAATATATGTATAAAAGTTTTTAAAAATTTTATTTTACAATTATTCAGGTAAATCAATTTTATCCCCTTCAAAGTACTCCCCCTGTGACATAATGCACTTGTGCCAACACCGTTTCCACTGTGAGAAGGCTCCTTGAAAGTCCTCTGGTTGTAGGTTTCTCAGCTGCCCCGTCGTAGCTTTTTTTATCTCATTTATGTCCCCCAAATGCCGCCCCCGAAGTACCAATTTGGTTTTTGGGAACAAGAAGAAGTCACACGGGGCCAAATCCGGCGAATAGGGGGGTGTTCGGTCACCGTAATGGAATTTTTACTCAAAAACTCACGGACAACAAGAGAGGTGTGGGCAGGGGCATTGTCGTGGTGAAGAATCCAACGCCCCTCTCGCGCCAATTCTGGACGAACTCGTGCCACACGAGCTTTGAGGCGTCTGAGCACATCGACGTAGAATTTTCCATCAACTGTCTGGCCTGGAGGGACGAATTCTTGATGGACAATCCCCCGAACATCGAAAAAAACAATCAACATTGTCTTGACATTTGAGCGGGATTTTCTTGATTTTTTTGTTCGTGGTTCCCCGGATGTCTTCCACTCTTTGCTTTCACGGCCATTCTTGTCGAGTTTCGAGAGAAACTTGATTACGACGCGCTGCTCTTCAACGGAAGCGGGCTCCATGCCGACGGGGTTTCGTTAAGGGGTAACTTCACAGATGGCGTGACAAGCCAGTTCGCACCGCACGGCGGTCAGACCAGAACTGAAGCATTGTTAGGGACATAAGGAAGGGGTCCTGCGCTTACCTGGCCTCCCCACTCCTCTTTCTCGCATTCCAGAACACTTTTATACGAACTTTCCGGACAGACCTCGTATATGTAGATGTTTAATATGTATATTTACATATGACATATATAAAAATAACTATGCAATGAGTAGAAAATATGAACTTATAATAATTGTACATATCAATAAATTTGAAATGTAGGTGTTTAAACGATTATAAAAATTGTTTGTTTATTTTTTATTTTATTTATTTAATTTTAATTTATGTATAATAATACTAACCGCAGTTGGTACATATGCTCTGTTAGATGTGGCCCTCTCATTCATCCATTTCACCGCATTTAGCCTCTTCCAGGGAAGATCACAGTGGAAATAAATTTTACTCTCATTGAACTTAGATTTAAATTTCATTATTATCACAGAAAATAAGCTTACAACGTCACCCATTTGTCGCGCGTTATATCGCTTTGAGAGTTATATGTTAAATGGTCATGAGACCAACAACAATATGCATTTATTTGTAATGATGTTATCATTCATGTTATTAATTCAATTTACGTTTTTCTGATAGGGAACACATTTTTATGTTTTAATATTTCACAACCACCCTTGTCAATCTCACTTGCCAGAGTGAGGGAGACAAAACGGAAATAAAGAATGAGAACTCTGTCTCATTGATTGAACGAATGAATCAAATGAATGGAGTTGTCAAAACGTCAAGAAAATTATAAAGTCTCTATACACGATCAAGATACTTAATATTTAAATTTTTATGTAGAGCTTTATTCAATATTTCATTCTCTCGAAATAATTTATAATGTGTAAGTGTGTGTGTAATTATCACAATTGAAGCCGATTCTAAACCGCCACTTCTTTAAACTTATCTCGTAGTAATTTTTTTTAATTTAATAGTTTCGCGAAATTGTTGTCTTAAGAAGTAATAAATAATAAATAAATATAAATAAGAGTAATACTTAATTGTCTTATATTTATATTGGTCTTATAATAAAGATTTTTACTGTGATACCAAATTGAAATATTAATTTTAGAGATAGGTTTAGAGAAATAACGCCTTGGAATTGCTATCCTCTTCCCCTCCACGCTGTGTATGATTCCTTCCCCAACCAAAGGGAGGAGCTTTTAACTAACTACTTATATTACTAGCAGTTGTTTAGGGGGCATTAAGACCCCATATATATAAATATTTATATATTAAAAAATGCTGTGTGATCCTAGTATAGAATAGGCCACCCCTTCTTTTCCCGTGTGTGTAAGAAATTACTAACAGAGGGCGAGGGATAATCTATTAGGCCGAGCAGTGTCCCTTTTAAAACATCACTAAAACCTAATCATGGTTGCCAATCTGCCTGCCAAGCATGGCAATTACTGGCAAAACTCCCCCAGGGGGAGGTTTATGTTCACCAGTGGACAGTTTAAAACCGATATGATGATGATATTATATATATATATATATATATATATATATATATATATATATATATATATATATATATATATATAGCCTGGTTTGATTTGTTAATAAGAAAAAGGGGAAAAAACAAAATTTGGAGAGAGTAGATGAGGCTCTAACCCATCAAGAGCCAAAAAGTCTAGATGTATAGTAGTCTTCATTATATGTTCAATCTGGATGTAGATATTCATTTCATACTTATAATAAATAAATAGAGGAGGCTAATCTAATAAATATTTACAAACTTTATTAGTTACTTTATATTTACAGAGATCAATCATTACAGTTTATAATTACTTCTCTTGATTCAAAGGTTGCCTGGATGATATCGCTTTTAGCGATAAGGCCACCCATTGTTTTCTCACTGTGATTATTTCTTGTAATTGTTTGTATTTACAATAAGTTTACTATTGTAATCTTTTGGAGGAAACAATAAAGAGTATCTATCTACAGCTAATTATTCTAAAAGTTACTCTCAAATAATTGGAGAAGTCTCTTTATTTCTGCTATTCTGGCTGCTTGTGCTTGAACTGGTATCATAGCCTGTGACACTTCCTCACCTTTGGCTAATATTGTATACATACTCTTAATGTTGTTATCCATTGCATCACAAGTCTTTCCGACTGCTTCTTTATAAACTTCCATATTTTCTGCTGTCAATGAAGAATTGGAATGTAAAATACTTGATAGGTTTTCTATTAAATTATCAACAGATTGAGCAATCTTTTGAGCTTCATACTCAAGATCATTCAGGACAGTTATATCTATTTGACCAATCTGTGGTGCTAATATCTGTCTGTAGAGTTTACCAGATGGAGTACTTGATCGTGATGCACTGGAACTGCCAAATACTGGAGTTTCACCTCTTTTAGTAATGGGGCTAGACAATTTTATCTTAAATTCTAGATCATCAGCAACATAGTGTGTCATGTCTCCTTCATAACTAACATGTCCATCAAGATCTAACGGAAATTTTTCTTGCTTCCGATTCTCTGAAGGCAAATCATATGGTCTTGATGGACCAGTGGCTTTTGCCTGTTCTTCATTTGATTGACCATGATCAGAGTGGAATGATATCTCACTATAAGACGCGGTCATCCGTGCAGATATTTCATCATCCATGTCGACCTCGGCTTGTTGTTTACTTGATGTAGCTTCGGTAAGCTCCTTTTCTTCTGTTAATGGTGAAGTTGTAGAGTCCGTTTGAATATTTGAAATATTCGCCATTTTCTGTATGGAATAAAAATTAAAAATATTTACAAATATAATAAAATTAAGATTGTTTTTAGCTACAGAGAATATCAAAATTAATTTATCAAGACTCAAATATTTTAATAAAATATTAAACATATTTGTGTGCCATATTATATTTTATAGAAATAGAGGACGTTTTATACCTCTGTATTTAGAGTGAGGACAGTCCATATTTCAGAAATGAAATATAAATTTAGGGACTAAATGAACAAAAAGATGAAATGGGACCACTTCATTAAGAATTCCTATTTAAAATTGCAGTATTTTATTATTAGGTTTTAACCTTAACATTGTTAAGCCATTAAACACCAACAGGTAACTATTACGTTATTTACTAAATAAGCACAAAACAAATAGGACTGAGTTTTTCAAAAAAATTATAGAAATATGCAGTAGCTTTGACTATTATAATTGGTAATTTTAGACTTTAAAGTTAGGCAATACCTTTATGTAATAAGTATTTATCACAGTTAATTGATAGTCACTTATTTGTTTAAATAAATATATTTGTTTTAATATTAAGAAACAGTATATAAAAGAAAATAACTATGACAAATTACAGAGACTAGCTAAACTAGCTATGACAGGTAAGTAAACTATTTAAGAATCGATATTATTAATATACCTGAAAATCTGTGCAACCATTTAAAAGTACGACACAAGTAAATGAATATTCATAGATTTCTACACTTATGTGTAATATACCTCTGTACAAAATATCAAGATTGATGGGTATTACAAAAGTTGAAAGTAGAGTTAAAATTAATATGATATGGACAAGTATGCGCAGAGATGAAAAGCATATTTTAAGAAAAGTGCTAAGTATGAATATGGATATAAGGGTAAAAAAATCTAAAAAGACAGAAATCTAATCTCAAACAGAAATGACTGGAAATAGAGATGAACGAAACATATTGAATGTGAATGTGAAAAAGACTCTATTTTCCGCGCTTAGCCTCTCATTTGGGCCGTTGTGCGTGTGAGTCGTGGCTAGTACAGCTAACCTAGCTCCGCCCAGAAACACAGAAGCTTCCTGGGTTCTTCACAGGCTTCACGGAGCGACCTCACCGTTCCGAGGATTTCTAAACGTTGATGGGTCACAGCCTCACATTCCAGGATTACGTGAGTAACTGTTTCTTCGGCGTTGAAACAGCCTCGACATAGAGGGCTGTCTGTGGCTTCTATTGTGTATAAATGTTTGTTTAATGGACAATGGCCCATTATTGTCCCTATCATTATTTTGAGGTTTTTTCTATCTAGATGTAATAAACGTTTTGATAGTCGTTGATTCAACGTAGGTACGGCCAATTTTGATTGTCTGCAATCAGTAGCCTGTATCCATCATTGGTTTTGTATGTCAGCGGGTCTCTGACGAATCCATATTCGAAATTGCGAGAACGGAAGAGGAAGAAGTGGATACGGGCCTACCACCCTCGTTCCTGAGCCTCTTCTAGCCAGTTCGTCTGCGGCATCGTTACCATAAGATCCACTGTGCCCTTTTATCCATTGGAGGATAACTCGGTTATTGGAAGATATCCTATCCAGTGAATGGTGGCATTCAATTATCAATTTGTTGTTTGTCTTATTGCAAAACGTACATATTAACTAAACATATTACGCCGATCCTAAATAAATAATTATGATATGGGTAAAAAGATGAGGATGACGAGGTATCATAAAAAACTTGGCTACTTCATAATATATATTTTTTTAATTTAGTTAACTGGTTGCATAGATTTCACACAGGCGGACTTTTATCAAAGTGAGATAGGCCTGGGTATTACTCATACTTCAATCAATTTCATACAAAATTTCATAAATTTTTTGTCAATTTTTATTCTTCCTTGCCTCTACATAGAGTAGCTGCATTAGGATTCTTTTTCTTTTTAACTCTCTTGTCTACTTCGGTTCTGCTCGTAGACAGAGAATTTCGATAATATTTAACATTTGGTCTCTCAGAACAATCGGTAAATGTTTCTTATTATATATATTAGGGATTCAACTATTTATTAGTTTAATTTTACTTAACACCTACAACTAGTTTTTGATCATAAACAATAATAATTTGTAGGTATTAAAAAATGTCAAATTTGCGGGAATTTTTGACAGTTGTCATTGTCATCTTGTCAATAAAAACATTCGTGAATATGAATTCTTCTTGAATTCGGGCTATTATAATTTATCTTGTATGCTTATTTTTCTTCAGTGTAACGCCAGTTTTTGTTAATTAGTGCTATATAGAAATGCATGCTTTTGATCGGTGAGTTAAATGTTTCAAAAGTCGCTGAAGGCAGAACATGCATTGTCCGTTTAACATGGCGCTTCATAACGACATGTGCGGATGATAAAGTTGTTAAAATGTCGTGTTAGTTTAATTTACAATTGCTGAATACATATTTGTTGTTGTATTTTGAGTTCTGATAGATAGAAATTTCATTGTTCTATTACATAACGGGTTTGTAGTATTCTAAGTAAGATACCGAGACAAGTATTGCAATGGTGAAAACCCGTCGCAGTAATGGAGAGAATGGGGAGGTTGACGATGGGAATTATGCTGTAAACGACGTTGGCAGTGTATCTGATGAGAAGGTGAAATTTCGTTACAGATATTACGTATCTTTTAGACAGGTCTTGCGCCTTTGCTTTGTTTAGAGGTATTTTATGTGAGTCAACTTCCTGTCCCCATTTCCTAGTTGGTAAATGCTGCACGTAGTTGCATGCGCTTTTATTACAAGTGTAAATTCACGGTTTTCCATAACCAGCCTTGTTTTTTTTTGTTATGATGTAATAATTTAGTCTATTCCAATATTTTAATATCTTCAATGTGTATATGTCTAAACAAACAATCCATTACAATTTAATAACAATATTTATTATTCTTGGTAACATGTAGATGGAAGACAGTGCCCCCACTTAGTAAAAAATTTAAATCATATAGATAGGCTAATATGTGTTATTTGAAAGATACTTTTTGTGATTATTAATACATTATATTATTTAATGTTACATATAAGAAAATACATACATACATGACTGCTATATAGTATAGGTATATTAATATTTTATAGCTAACAAAGAATGTTGCTAATGGGATTAAATGATGCATTAATTTGTTTTCCATTTTCAGCTCTGATATGTTAAGAAATTGAGTCTGGGCTTAAGAGTAATTAAAACATGCACACTGTTAGTTTCTTATGGCAAATTCCACTATTAGTTATTATTAAAACCTGTGCAAGTAGTACAGGTGTTTTATTATTTATAAAAATAAATGTTAAAATTTGTTAAGATATTTGTTACTAGGTCATTATTTATTGATTTGAATAAATGTTGTACACAGATGATATCATTCTATCCTTTATGTGAATTTAGGATATCACTAGATTCATACAAAAGGATTTTTTTATATCTGTCATATAGGCAAAGCTGTAGGTAATAGCTACTATAATTATTTATATAAAAATTATATACAACAGAATGTAATAAAACTGCCACATGTGGCTAGTTACCAAAAACATATATATTTTATTGATATATTTAACTAAAATTTAGATTTTAGATATAAACAAATATGAATATTTCAATTAAAGTAAAATTATTTGTTATATGAATCATCTCTTAGTATAACTTTGGTTTATATGGAACTTTACAAATGCAATTAGTAAGTAGTAACTAATTACACTTTTCAATGATAATAATAGTGTTTTTAACAATATTAGTCATATACTCATATAAATAAGATAGGTCTTAGTACAAGAAACTATTTGACGAAGCAGTTATACCATACAGTGATAAGAAAAAATGTGATTTTAAAACAGAAGGACATATATACTTCCAAATGCTACATATAAATTACCTTTCAGATGTGATAACCCCTTAGAAAACCTGACTAAAACTATGATGTGGCCCTGTTTAATCATAATTTTTTAGCATATAGCACTGTTTCAATTAATAAAAACCATAAAACACATTAACTTGCGTTAAAGAAGGGGCACATACATTCATATACTTGAAAATATTTATCATCTTCCTACCCTTATCCCAATTATTATTTGGGGTCGGCGTAATATGGTTTTATCCATATTACAAAATGATTCGGCTTATAGTTTTACGACCGGCCGCCTGCCTGACATCAACCCTCTTTGGGAATACACTTGAAAATATTACCCTCTATTATTTGGTAGTTGGGCAATAAAAAGTATAAATCTTAATAAAATAAATATTGTATCAAAATCATTAGGTAGATAAGTGTATTTAAATTTGATTATCTTTTTATAGATATGTAGTTTTAGAATTATAGTTGTGGTGGGGTTGCCTGCTCTTTTTTATTTATATTAAATTATTTATATTAAATATTAAATTTTATACACTCAATGGATATTTGTTGAAAATCCTGTGTTATTTTATGTTTGGTTGTCCCTATGATATGCATGTTATTGCATTAATATACATTTTATTCAATATAAAACAAATGTATTTAAGATTAATAGTAGTTTTATTCATTATTTACAAGATATTAAAAATTGAAAATTGATTTGATGATTTATTGTATTTGTATTGTATTGTATTGTAAAAATCTTTATTGTACATAACTTAGATTTTATATATTTTATGTAATTATTAATTAATATATTTTATATACATTATTATTATATTGCAATAAATAAGTTCAGAATTTTTTTTTTTAAATTTTAGGCAAGCAATTGGTCCCAACGTGAGCTAAGGAGTAGTCAGTATAAAGTTACTAGAACAATCCAACGTTGGCCCACTAAATGTAAGTAGGGCATATATTGCAATCAATTCTGAAGTGCCATTTCTTAAAATTTATCTTTAATCTAATATTTTAATTTGATAGTTCTATGAAAAATAATTTCATTTTTATATAATTGTATTTTATGAATCACTCATCATAAACTAAACTGATAATAGTTCTATCATGAAACAATTTCAATGATTGAAAAATATTTCAGTAGTTATTGAAATATTCCAGAGGGAGACTTTATACAAAAGTCGATTGCTTGGGTACCTCTATCTCATTTGTGTTTCAAACGTGAAGCAGTTGTGTTTGCATGGCTGTGTTTCGGTTTGAAGGGTGGGATATGGCGTGAATTTACTGGGTACAGAGGAATAACACCTGAGTCCTCAGGAATGGTAACGCATGGGGGATATCACGGGCGAAACAGTATACTCTGTTATGACCATGGTACTGCTCATGTCTATAGGCGACGGTTACCACTTTCCATCAGGTGGGTCAGCTTGTTTGCCATTCTAAGTTGTAAACAAAAAAAAAAAAATTTCATATCTTAACTATTTCTAAAGTAAAAAAAAAGTTGCCATCCTTTATATATATGTATAGAGTTGACAATTAGAGCTGTTTTAATATCTACCAACCACATTATGGAAAGCAATAAGAAATATATTAGCCCTTAGAATAAATATTTTACTGTGATATCAAATTGAAGTTTTCATTTTAAAAATAGGTTTACAGAAATGGTGTTTCACAATGGAGTCATTGTCAGATTTTATAGAAATTTTATATTATTTATTAGAATATGATAAATATATTATTTTTTGTGAAATCATCATTAGATAGTCGCAGATGCCGTACCATCAAGATGCCTCGAATAGTATTCCCAGAAAGTGACACCGAACCTGAAAAATATTCTAGAAGGTATAGTCTTGATTGATGTATAATATATTCTGTTTTTAAAAAATATTCTTATTCATATTATACAAAATTATTGAATTATTATTATAATATTTTTTCTTAGATCCAGACAAGTAAGAGTGTTTTTTGCTGAAGATAATGAACCAACCAATAGTGTCCGACGTAGCCGTGGACCAAGGAAAAATTACGTCGAAGACAGTGAAGACAAACCTATACAAGAAAGTATGTGTTCCTTCGTCATACAGCATAAAGCTTATATAAAATCAAATTATGTGTCTAATTTGGTCATGTAATATGGCAATAAATGTGATCTGAAGATGTCTTATCTGTTATTAGATAAAGCAGTAGCAGATTAGTGCTAGTTACTTTTCTGTCTTAGGATTCTGAGATTAGACCAAATTTCAGAATTTTGTCCTTGTTTTAACTTTATATGTCAATTTCAGATGTAAGAAGAAGTTGTCGGAAGCGTAAACTCCTCCATCACAATTTCAATGAAAGTTGGATAACTAATGAATTGAAAGTCAAAGGATATCCAGATTTATATGGTTTCCCTGGTTCCAGTTCCTCCGATGAATCATACTCAGGCGATGAAACCAGAACCACACCAAAAAAAATGGTAAATCAAATTGTAATTGAATTTCTAAAATATATGTTAGTATGTGAAGTAGCATGAAACTATAATAAATTTTACAAGCTATGCCCAATGTTGTTTGTGGTGTTTTTCATATCTAAAAGTGACGATTACCACGTTAAAAATATAAAAAGGTTCATGTAACCATTGGGTAAATTCTCATTTTAGATAGAAAAAAAAAACAATTTTCATGTTCAAGTTAAGCTCGCCTGTTGTACATTTTTATTTAAAATAAATTATAAGAATGTAATTTTTGTGTACAATAAAGTATAAATAAGTAAATAAATGTTTATAGTCTAGCAGCCATGTTCCCGCTAATACAGATGAAGACACACAGCTATCGAGACAACGGCGAACGTCTGCACGATTTCACAACAAAAAATCTAATGTGAGTCACGTAGCATAATAATTTTTTGCCTATATTCTTACATTTACACTAGCTTTAATCCGCGGCTTCGCCCGCGTGATCGGGGTATGTTTACTGACTGGGATAAAAAGTATGCTATAACCTACTCCATTATAGTACGTGTATACTAAATTGCATAGTAATCGGTTAAGCCGTTAAGGCGCTAATAGGAACAAAAAACAAACAAACACTTTCACATTAACAATATTAATTGATTCAACTAATTAATTTGAGTATACAAAAAAGTAAAAGTTAATGTTAAAATATGTCAAAAATTTAACATCATAACTCATTATGATACTATTAGATAAAAAGAACGGTGAAGGACAAACCTGGTTCAAGTAGTCCCCTCGTGTGGATCTTTTTATACGCGTTCTTGTTTTACTCCAAATTATCCAACACTTATTGATTTGCTGATGTTTCACTTGATGATGCTCGGAGATCGCAGCTGATCTGAGTAGTACGCGACTGGCGGATTTTTTTTACATATCTTAACAGAACTTGATCTGCTCGCCGCACAGTTGGGCTACAGACTGATTTTGTAGCCATCTATCCCCAATATGATCCCAGATTTGATCGGGAATATGGATAGGTAAGGAGGGTAGAAGGATATTGCGGCATTACATTCGGATATGTTGTTCATTTATTCATTTATTCATTTATTTATTGCCATTACATGTTGTAACAAAATTGGAGTATATGTTGTTAACATTAATAAATCTTAATAAATGATAAATTTTTAGATTATATATATGTATCGTCGATTAGTATAAAAAAAAAAAAAAAAAAAAAAAATACAATGTGAAAAATGTAAACGATTAAATATGCTATTTTAAACTTTTTTTTAAATTTTGTTAACATAAAAATGATAAGATTATATTAACCAGATACAATGTAAATGTAAACATGCTCATGATTTACAATTATATCACCTAATGGGGTAGTCAGATGTGTTTGCCGACTGTCAACCATATTGATTATGGCTATTGATAAATAAATTCAATAAATGGTGGGAATATTGGTAAAATACAAGAAAAACATTATTTTTTAGGAGGCAACTGAAACAGATTCCGAAGATGAACAAAATCAAACAGTTATAGAAAAGAAGCCACTGACAGACAGTAAAAAGGAGGATGAGAAAATGGAAGTTCAACCCTGTGAGGAAGTGAAGGCTGAGAGTGAACCCAATGTCCAAACACAGGAAAGTGAAAGGTATTATTGTTACCTACTTATTGATCTACGTTAGCTGCGTAATATTTGAATTATGCGTAGACTAGGCCGTAATATTCATTTTATAATTATAGAAATCAGAAGGCTTAAAAAAATGTCTCAAATGTATAATGCATATTTATTATAATTTTTAGAGAGTTATGTCCATTTTTTAGTAATCAAGCACCAGCGAGATCGACCCGAAGCAGAGGGAGAGGTCGACCAAAGAAAGAGGATAGTCAAGAGACAGGTATCTTAAATTATGATAATAATAAATAGTTTTTACCAATAAGGGGGATAAGTGTATATATTTATCCCTCTTATTCACAAAAACTAAAACATCATACAAACCTACTTTAGCAGTTAGTGTTTTGTCACTTTCTTTCGAATTGGGAATTAAGCTAAAAAAAAAGGCAATTGGTTTGTGAGACGTTTGACATTTTTATGAATTAAGGATTAAGTTATAAAACAATGTAACACGAAGGACGCAATAGATGTAAGATCCAAGTATATTTAGGTGTTTATTAATTAAAGATTAGGTTAAAAAAAATCGATTTCGATAAAATTTCTATGACACCAATCTGTAAGTGTATCCTTTAGATAAAGAAAAAGTTTTCCAAATCGGTTTACAATTGACAAAGTTATGAATTTATGATGTAATAAACATAAAAAAAAATACAATAGAATTGAGAACCTTCTTCTTTTATAGTCTGTTAATAACTACAGTATTGTTTTCAGCATCCGAGACTTCATCGTCGGAATCTGGTAGCGAGCTGACAATGGGCCGACAGCCGCGACGGTCTAATCGTACTCGAAAAGCTAAGCCTGCTTTTGTACAAATCGCTCAAGGACAGACCCGTTCTAGAGGTACGTAATTTATTATTTGTTATTCACTGCTTTCGTGTTTATATCATTTTTTAAAATGTGCTAGCTTTATTTTTGAAATGAAAAAAATGACATGTTTTTAAGTACACTATCAATTAATCATTTTGCATATAAGCATATAATATTTTGCTATTAAGGAATTGGAAAAATTGAAATTAAAAATTATGCTTTACATGAATGCATCTCATAGATGATGCTTTCCCCCATAGAGGATAAATGCAATATTATTCTTGCTTATTTCTAGTTTCAGTGATATGACATTTAAATTTGAAGTAGTCAAAATATGTAATTTCTAAATTTAGATTATTTTATTTTATTTTTATATATTTTTAAAATTCTAGCAAATGTTTATTTATTAAAGATATATTGTGATAAAATCTCTATAATCCTATACAGGTTTGACATAAGTAACGTTATTTGATTAATTACACAAGTTTTACAGTTATACTGTTGTGTGTAAAAATACATTGTTCTGATGGTCATTTATATCATTTGTTTACAGCTAAAACATTTACAATAAGAAAGAAGCCATATTCTCTTAGGGAAAGAAAACCTAAAATTCTGCGTAGGAAGACGATCAGATGTGAGTATAAATTATAAACTCGTTGAATATTTTTCTTACGCATATTTAGCTTTAAAACAACATATATCTGTATTTTCTTATGTTTCCAATTAAGCTGATCTTTACAAGAAAATTAATATAGAAAAGCAATATTATGTATTTTGTATGTACTAAAATTAGAGTGAATTGTTAAACGTTGTAACAGAATTTTGTTCAATAATATACCTTCTGCTAAACTAGTTCAAACTTCTTATGGCACTGCATTGAATATTTTTATAATAGAAATATTAAAATATGAAAATTATATTCCAATAAATATTGTGTGATTGAAAAATTTCGGAACAGGTAAGATTTAAATCCGCTTCTTTTACATCACACCATGCTAAGGCCAAGTACTCTTATACTGTTGATTTTGAACAGGCCTCCAGTAGAGCAGTAACTCAACTGAGCGCTGTACTGGATGTCCGTTTGAAATCAACAGGTACTACTATAATTATTGTAATATAATTTATGGGTTAAACACTTTTACATATCGATAACCAATATAGGTAAACCCTAAGGGTTATTTCATACGACGCGGTTGATTTCATTGAGAGTGAAACACTTGTGGTCGTAGTAAAGCATGCATGGCTCGTTTGAGAAATCCAAATTTACATAATTCTGCTGCGGTGTCCATGTGGAAGGAAAGAGATTATTAATAATGTGTTCAAACAGCCGCATTGCTAGCAATAAACTTTATTAGTTCGACTTCCACACGGTTCCCCCTGGAAACCATCTTGGTAAACTTTTGCCCAATTCTTCACTTTGGGCCAACTGATCTGCCTTCATCCTCACTTATCATCCATCACTGGTGCCTGGCTAGCAATATACCGATAACGCAGGTGGGGTTACCATTCTATTTTCACGCATTAAAAAAAATAGCGGTATCTCATCGGTATTTTTATTTTTTTAAATATGTATTCAGTATTGTATTTATGTGGTAATGGCGATGATAATTTATTTTATAAATTGCTGTTCCCAGCACAATCCCCGTCCAGTACTAGCAGTAGTAGTACGTCGAGTTCGGATACAGAAGAAGATTTAAATGTTTCTATGAAAAATAAGACTAAGGGCAGGTAATTACCGCACGCCATTTTTATATATTTTGTTCTCGTAGTTATAGTGTTTTTATTTTTAATTATTACTGCAACTATCGTTATGTACTTTTTCGCATTTACAATGCTATAATTTTTTTTTTTACTTTTTTTTTAGGCAAAAGACAAAAGCAATGGATGACAAGAAAACAGATAGGGCATTGAGAGATATTCAACCTATCGAAGTTGATGGCAGTGTGAGATTTTCATCGGTGAGTATTTTGTATTATATAATGCAAATACTATCAAATAAAATTAATAATATTACTTTTTTTTTATTAATAAAAAAAAAATTAATAGTTTTAAGTTTCAGTAATCTTTACTACGCCTATAGCATGATATTTGCAATGAATAAAATGGATAATGTTTTATATTTGTGATAAATAATTTATTCACAGGTGGGCGGTCTCGAAGAACATATAAAATGCCTCAGAGAAATGGTTCTCTTTCCTCTGATGTATCCACACTTGTTTCAAAAGTTTAACACGAGGCCTGCAAAAGGAGTTTTATTCCATGGACCCCCAGGCACAGGCAAGACACTACTGGCCAGGGCTCTAGCTAACGAATGTAGTCTGGTTGGTGGACGAAAGGTTGCCTTCTTCATGAGAAAGGGAGCAGACTGTTTGAAGAAGTGGGTCGGTGAAAGTGAAAGGCACCTCAAGTTGTTGTTTCAACAGGTGGGAAAACCGTAAATTTTGTGATTTTAAAAGATGGACATTTGACGCTTTGATAGCGCCTCTAATGTCACAAGTGTTCATGGGCGACGTTAGTCACTTTTTACCAGGTAGACTGCCAATTCAATTGCCTTCTTAATAAAAAAAATACAATTTTGAGTAATTTCGACAGGTTATTATATATTTATTCGATTATTTTTGTTATACACCCGAAAGGAAAACAATGGAATTAAGGATTTGAATTTACAAAGTCATTTACATAATACAAAGTCATTTATTTTGCTGTGTCCATCGACAGGCGAATAAAATGAAACCGTCGATAATATTCTTCGACGAGATCGACGCACTGGCACCGGTGCGTAGCGTGCGGCAGGAGCAGGTGCATACCAGCGTGGTGGGCACGCTGCTCGCAGAGATGGACGGCCTCACTGACAGGTAAGGGTGGCCAGTATATGCCGAATATAGTTACAGTATCTATATAATGACCCAATAATGGATATATTAGATATCGGTTATCCGTTATATGGTACCGCAGTGAAGAACCTGATAAAAATCAATATAGGTAGTTGGCTGGTATGGGCAATATTTAAATGTGTTATCTTGATGATTATTTCATTCTATAGAATGTTAGTTTATTTCAAGTTATTTATAAACGTCTATGGGGTTTGTATTTGTAAGCATTATTGTTTACGAAAAAATGGAGCTGCGAATGCCTACTTGATTACAAATGTTCGTTGAAATAAATTCGTCTCTTTAGATCAGTATTTCTTGATAACGTAATTAGTATATTAGCATAAGTTATAGGCCAACTGATCTAATTTCATCCTCATATACCGTTACCTACCAATACCCCACCTGTGTATACTGATAGCTCTGGCGGTGTTCATCATCATACCAGCTTTTAACTGTCCACTGCTGAACATAAGCCTCCTCCTTGGGGGTTTTGCCATTAGTTGCTGTTCTAAGCAGACGGATTGGCAATCGCGATTAGGTTTTATAGATGTATTAAGGGGAACTTGTTACTTATTCTTCGTCCTCCCTTAGTCGCCTCTTACGACAACCACGCGAAAAGATGGGGTGGCCTATTCTGGCCGCGACCATATTGCAAATGGTGGCACACTGGTGGGGTTATTATTTTATGATTTTTCATATAAAAAATTTGTGACAGAGGCGAGGTGATCATAATAGGCGCTACTAACCGTCTGGACGCAGTAGACCCGGCGTTGAGACGCGCGGGCCGCTTCGATCGCGAGCTTTACTTCCCTCCACCGCATGCGGCCGCTAGAAAAGACATCTTGCACATATACACCAAAGACTGGGAACCATCTCTGAGCGAGAATGATCTAGAACAGATTGCGCAGCTCACCAATGGGTATGGAGGTTAGTATTTAGCAGATGTATTTCCAAATATTAATTTAAATACATTATTCTTCTGTAAGAATGGGCAGTGACAATGACAGGATAATCCTCATGTGATATATATATATATTTTGTTCCTAATTACTACACAAATTGGGGTCAAGGAATCTCAAATGTAATGAATATGCTATATGTTACATTTACTTTTAAATGATTTTATAATGATAAACCTGTTCTTTTGAAGTTCATGTATAAATTTTGTTACAGGTTCGGATTTGAAAGCGCTATGTTCAGAGGCTGTACTTAAAGCTTTAAGAAGAGTGTACCCTCAAGTTTACGAGAGTGAACATGCATTACTTATTGATCCGAAAAATGTTAGTAACTATAAATAACATCATTTATGAATTTAGATATGTTTCTAAAAAGTTAAACATTTTTAAAATAAAGTAAGTTTAGTTAATCCGGCTCGAAGGACCAACATATCTACTACACGATTTTGTTTCTAATATTAACCGAATGATAATGCAATAACCGTAAATAGTGTAGTAGGTACATGAAGTAAATTTTGAAATAATATAGAAATATTACCTTGAATCATACAAATGGACTAAATAAATGCATTGTAAAAAGATAACCTATAAGTCAGTTATGGGTATTTTTTACTTTGTGTTAAACTAGTCGGCTATATAAATTGGCTGACATATGTTGGTGTCGCTGTGGGTGTGTAGGTGGAGGTGACGGCGGGTGACCTAGTAGCAGCATTGGGGTCGCTGGTAGCGGCGGGCGCTAGGGTGGCGCCACCTGTTGCGCGTCGCCTGCCGCCGCGCGCCGGCCCGCTGCTGCAGGCGCAAGTCACCGCTGCCGCGCATGCGCTCACAGCCGCCACTGGGTGCGTAGTTTTTTTTTAATGAATGAAATTAGAATGTAAACCCCCTGGTAACCATAGCGCAATGTATTCATTGGTGAGTTACCAGCGAGGAGGATACGTGAAGATATTTATTTATTTACATTTTATAGTACCAATTAAAAATAATAAATATAGTAAATTTTAATTAAAAGTGATACAAAAGATATTAAGTCGTCTGGTTCATATTGGCAAAAGCTGCTAGGCTTTACAAAAGTCCTTTCCCCTGCTGATTGTGTGCCGTGTGTAAACCCATTTATACATAAAGGTGTCTGGCGTCCGACGTAGATTACAGGCTGATTTTTGACGCAACTGAACAGATATTAGTTGGACTAGTTGACGTGTATTCTTACACAAAGATTCTTTTTCTGGTTCCCATGGTTTTATTGGTATATTGAAGTCCGGGGGTGTGGTGGCGCAGGTGGTGCGCGGGCGAGGCAGCGGGCGCGTGCGAGGCGGCGGGCCCGAGCACGTTCCTGGTGACGGGCGAGTGCGCGGACACGCTGCTGGCGCCGGCGCTGCTGGCGCGGCTCGAGCGCGCCACCGTGCGCGAGCTCAGCCTCGCCGCGCTGCACGCCGCGCACGCCTTCACGCACGAGCAGGCGCTCATATCGGTCACTCTTGCAACACTAGTTCTTATCATTGCTTGGGTACCTCTGCCCCATTCGTGTTTCAACCGTGAAGCAGTTGTGTTTGCGTGGCTGTGTTTCGGTTTGAAGGGTGGGATATGGCGTGAATTTACTGGGTACAGAGGAATAACACCTGAGTCCTCAGGAATGGTAACGCATAGGGGAGCACCATGGGCGAAACAGTATACTCTGTTATGTCCATGGTACTGCTCATGTCTATAGGCGACGGTTACCACTTTCCATCAGGTGGGCCGTCAGCTTGTTTGCCATTCTAAGTTGTATAAGAAAAAAATATCATAAACATAAAACGTATTAACTTTGTACTTCTCTATCAGATTTGTGGCGTCTCATATAAACATATGGATACATACATATCCGTCACGCCTGTCTCCCATTACAGTAGGCAGAAACAATGGAATGAACAAATGAAATACATATTGTTAATAATATTACGTAAATAAACAAATATGTGTCTATCATATATAATTAGGTAGTAACTAGTGAAATATATAATTCGCAAACAAAAGAAATGTCAGAAAATGTTTTTAAAGTTGCCACATAATTATTTCAGAATTAACTCCCTTAATGACAAGAGTAGTGTGTTACATTGTTGTGTGTGCAAGGAAATGAGATCGTATAACAGAGACAGATGGTTGATTGTAAACAAGTAGTGGTCGTGGTCGTGGTGCAGGTGTTCGCGGAGTGCCGGCGCGCGGCGGGCGGCAGCGTGGTGGTGGTGCGCGACGCGGGCGCGCTGTGGGCGGCGCTGGGCGGCGCGCGCGGCGGCGGCGCGCTGCTGCTGCAGCTGTGGCGCGCGCGCGCCGCCGGCCGCCGCGCGCTGCTGCTGGCCACCGCCCCCGCCCCTCACCACGCGCTGCCCCCAGAGGTGCGCCTGCAGCTGGCCTAGCTCTTATACACCACACGCACACTTCCCTATCATCATCGTAATAATATAAGCCTTTATTAAAGTAGTAACATAATAAACAATTCAATGTCGTCCTCCGTGGCGCAGCGGTCAACACGCCTGCCTGCGACGTGGAGGCCCTGGGTTCGATCCCCGGCCAGGTCATGATGGAAAACGATCTTTTCCTGATTGTCCTGGGTCTTGGATGTTTATCTATATATGTATCTATTATAAATATAGTATCGTTGAGTTAGTATCCCATAACACAAGTCTCGAACTTACTTTGGGGCTAGCTCAATCTGTGTGATTTGTCCGTAAAAAAAAAAAAAAAATTCAATGTAATTAATATTCAATCAGTTACTGTTCTGTCACCTCTCGCTTGTCCAAAGACAAAGGCCTCCCTCCAGAGTCTTCCATTCTATTCTGTCTTTGGCTGTCCTTGTCCAAAATGCACCTGCTACTGCTATTATATCTGTAACCCATCGTGTCAATGGTCTTCCCTGTCTTCTTTGGCCTATTCTAGGGTACCAGTCTGTTATAGTTGTCCATTTTTGTGTTTTTTCTCGCATAATATATCCTGCTCGTCTCCATTTTTTTTTTGATTGTATAAATAACTTTATCATCATTGTATCAACCTTTAACTGTCCACTGCTGAACATAAACCCCCCAAAGGGATTGGGGGATTTTGCCAGTAGTTCCACGCTTGGCAGCCGGATTGGCAACCGCAATTAGACTTTGGAGATGTTTTAAAAGGGATGCTGCTGTCCATCCCTGGCTCTCTCTTAGTGGCATTTTACAACACCTACGGGAAAGGAAGGGATAGTCTATTATATCTCGGAACCACATGGGACTTCATTACTGGCTACTAATTTTAATAATGTAATATACTGTATGAATTTGGTTGTTTCAAAACATTAGAAATGTTTACAAACCTTCTGAACATCTGTAAAAATGATCATGTTTTAAAATTGTGTATTTTTTTGCAGCTGCAAGAACTATTTCCGTTGTACAAAGATTGCGTGTATAATGTTCGGGAACCGAACGTGTCTGAAGTAATAAGTTTTTGAAGCCACTGATAGCAGAAGCGCTGTTACCACCGCCACCCGTCGAGAGTAATGAACCACTACCTCAATTGCCTAGAGGTAAGTGAATAAACAATTGAAACTAATAAATATTTTTTTAAAAATGATATATTAGAGTCGGTATCATTTTCATCCGGCTCGAAGGACCACAATGTCTAATATTCGATTAGTATTTTTATAACATAAAAAGAAATTAAAAGTATTGTTGATATTGTCGTAATTGTAACATTGCAATCTGTTACGAACAAAATAAAATTATTTAAATTTGTTCATGAAATGTCAGTTTTATACACAATTTCGTTATTTTGACATAATATATTTGTCGCATAGCACCTCCACCGCCGCCACCGCGAGAGAGCGAGGAGGAGATAGCGCGCCGCAAACGCAAGGAGGACTATAAGTTGCGAGAACTGAGGATATTCCTGCGCGACATCTGTCGGAAACTTGCGTCGAATCGTCGTTTTTACAAGTTTACCAAGCCTGTCGATCTTGAAGAGGTAAGAATTTTTACCATATTGTGATAATTAATTTCAAGCAATATCTTTATATATAATTATATAATTATATATAATTATATAATTATATATAATTTATATATTTAATAAAAAAAAATGTATATGAAAATATACCTCATGGATATAAACCTTCATATTGTATGGGGATTTTCCACTTATCGGAAGCTAAATAATACAGGTAGCATAATTAATAAATACACAATTGTACTCACTTTAATGATTTGTGCATGATATTCAATACTATATTTTGTTATAAACATTTTAAATACATTTTATTAAATATTTTAAAAGTGAGTTTGTTTGCTTCGCTTTTACGTCTAAACTTCTGAATCGATTATTATAAATTTTGATATAGAGATAGATGGGACTGTTATAGACTATTTTTTCTCCTGGTCATTGAACATATCTCAGACACGCGGACGAAGTCACGGATAAAAGCTAGTACGTAAAAAACTAAGCCTTTGAACACAGTGGCGCGGCGCTACATCGTGTGTCAATCGCTTAATTTTATAATGCATGGAGGAGGCCTTTGCCGACTGTTAAACAGATCTGCACAAAAAATAAATAAAAATTCAAATAAAAGATTAGACTAAGATTTACATAAGTTATCCATGTATTGTTTTTTTTTTACGTAATTTTGATATGGGTCTGAATAAAAGGCTATGTTATTATTAATATTATGCTTCCCTCAGGTGACTGACTACTTAGATATAATAAAGCAACCAATGGACCTCGAGACTATGATGACGAAAGTGGACATGCATAAGTATAATTGCGCTAAAGAGTTCCTCGACGACATCGACCTTATATGCGCTAATGCGCTAGAATATAACCCCGACAGGTAACTTACATTCTATTAGAATTAACAAATAAGAATCATGTTCATTCATATACAAGAGAAGTTGTCTAATGGTCAAATACATAATTTTATTGTTATTATTATTGGGATTTCTAACCAATATTGTCTTTTACACTTTATATTAACAGTCTCTCACAAAATTGGTCTTCATATCAAATTGTACTTCAAGTTGTCACTTTATTCTACCTTTTGTGAAGAGAAAATAAACCATTCATTCATTCATTCATTCATTCAATAATAGTGATTTTTTAGAAATTGTACATTTCTATTATTATTGTAGATTTGTTTTTTTTTTTATGATTATCGTTTTATTACAATAGAAAAATAAATAGTTACGAATTAAAAAAAATTTAGGCAATCGAGCTTTTTATTCCTTGAAACAGATTTCTGAATTATTTTATATATTGTTTTTTTTTCTTTTGTTTCTGTTCTTATAATAATATAAAGCAGCGCCATCTAGCTTAAAACTATACAGAGATTTATTTTGGAATCTGGATAACTAATAGATATACATATATTTTTTTATACTCTATTATTTATTTCTCACTACCAACAATTAAGGAACTTACTATCTATAAAATATGGAACGTTTTAACAATAGTATTTGTAGAAGCTGGTGCCTGTACTAGGTGTTAAACCTGTGTTACAAGTCACCACAGTTATTATAGAAAGATATATTATTGAACCTTTTATATGATTAATATCTCCATTGCACCATTGGACAATTTCTCTTAAATCAAAAACATTCCGTAAAATCCATTTGATTAATTTATTTTATAACATGTGCATAATTTTTTTGTTCACATTCCCCCCGGTGCCAATCAAAGGGCTAGAGGGATGTATAGGTATGAGAAAACGCTTGTAACTATTGCATAGTATTTACTCAGTTTTGACCTGTAATGATTGCGGATTACATTGTATTATTTTATGTAATTGTATATTACATCCTCTAACCTTTTGTCCGTTCATATTTCGGACATTGTTTTTTTTATTGAAGTATCCCTATATTCAGCATGTCGTTAGAATTATAAGCATGGCTTAGATTAATAAGTAGTAACAGTAGGCAATTATTATTGTAAGCCAAATTTAAATGCGCTTGTGTGAAGTTGACTCTCTTGGCTTTGCGATATGTTCTCGTGATTGTAACATTCAAGTAATTGTTTCGCAGTTGAAGGGTAAGTGCACAAAGGTGTAAAAAAGTAATGAGCATTTAAAAAAATATTGCAATCCATTTTATATAATAAATTTTTAACTTAGCAGTTAATAGATTATCAACCAACTCAAAAAATGTGGAGGTTTGCAATTTGCTTGTATTTTATGTTTTTTACTTTATAACTCCGTTATTTTTAGACAGATTTGGAGAATTATTTTTTTTTTATCTGAAGGTATATACTTTCAGATTGGTTCCAAAGAAATTTTATCACAACTGTTTCATTAGTTTAGTTTTTTTAATCAAAATAACTGGTTTCGTCACGATTGAAGTCGATGTTTTTTTTTTTGTGAATAATCTTCATTGTAACTACATACAATTAAAATTTTCATTTTTCGACATTATGAGGCGGTTTATTACTAGTTTACCTTTATTTATATATCAAGAATATGTTTTTCAATCTACATTTATATACTATATATAAATGAAACATATGAAAAAATTCGTAATGATGGTACTCTATGGTATGTTCTTTTTTCCTTCTTCCAAATGCAATCACAATGTTTTGCGTAAACACACGGACAAACTTCAGGGCGCATTTAAGTTTTATGCGTTCTATATTCAAAATTGTCTCTTTTTCAAAATCGCTTATAATTTGTTTTTTTTTTCTTTATTTTAGTATGATGCCTGTCGTATTAAAATAGGAACAGAAATACTGATGCGTGTGAAGTTATGAACAGTTTGTTAACATAGTATTATTTCCTTGTGTCATCTAACAACTTATTTATTAATATCATCATTTATTGCTTTTTTTTTAACATGTATTATTTATTTTAATGTAATCAAATAGTAAGTTATTAATTGCATTTTATAAAAAGCTTTGAGTGATTATATTAGATATGTAATGTTAGTATTATTGTTTAGTGCGTGAGAGACGAGACTAGTAATGAAAGTGGATAAAGAGAGAGATGTATGTGATATAACAGAATGCAATGAAAAAAAATATGGATTTAGCACTCTGCATTTTTGCCAGACGCGAGGCAAGTTGATAGATTCAGTTGATACGTGAAAAAGTTATTTTAAGACATTAGCTTCTCTTTCATCGTTTCTAATTTAATTTAAATTTGGAACTGTTTTATATTATAGAATGAAGTCGAAATCATTAGTATTTTTAAAGGAGATTTCTAACAGTCATACTGAACTATGTGACCATATACTGGCATTGAGGATTTGTTTGTGAGGAAACGTTTTCAGTAGCGATCCGACTAGAGGAATATTATATTCCTTGGTCGAAATCTTGTTATTACTCACGCATTTTTAATTCCTTGGATTTTGGAGGGGCGTGCTATGTTTTCGTAGACAATCTATTCATACTTACTTTAAAGCTGGATTTGCTATGTTATAAAAATAAATAAAATAATCCCAGTATTCCAGGGAACATGGATTAATTTCGCACACTATACTATTGAAACTTTTTAGTAGTATTAGTAATATTTAATTTATAATATTATAAAACAATTGCCAGAGTGACGACACTTTGTATAAAACTCGTTTGCGTTGGTACCTTTGTCACATTCGTGATTCAATCGTGAAGTAGTCGTGGTTATTTATTTTATATTATACTATACTTAATGCTAAATAGTACATATATATGTGTACATGGCGGACTTAATGCTAAAAGCATTCTCTCCCAGTCAACCATAGGGAAGTGTCAGAATGTACATGTCTGTTTTTCAATTTGGCAGAAAAATTGCAGGATGCGAAAGCATAACGTTTTTGTCCATAATCCTAAATACATACTAGGTACTATGAGTATCACAAGGTATTCGTGCTGTCCATGGTACTTGTATATATTTATATTCGACGCTGATCATTTATTGTTTTTGAATAATAAATAAATATGTCACGGTGCGACAGGACGTCGTCGGACAAGCAGATCCGGCACGAGGCGTGCTCGCTGCGAGACCACGCGCACGCGCTCATCGACGTGGAGATGGACAGCGACTTCGAGCTCGACTGCCAGGACATCGCGCGCCGCCGCCGCGAGGCGCCCGCCGAGCCCGACCACGACCTGCCCGACTTTATATACACCGCCTCCAATCTGCGTAAGGCTTACGCTTTTAGAGCTAATCTTTTTTTTATATACAACTTAGAATGGCAAATAAGCTAACGGCCCACTTGATGGAAAGTGGTAACCGTCGCCTATAGACATGAGCAGTACCATGGACATAACAGAGTATACTGTTTCGCCCATGATACTCCTCAGGCGTTACCATTCCTGAGGACTTAGGTGTTATTCCTCTGTACCCTGTAAATTCACGCCATATCCCACCCTTCAAACCGAAAGCACAGCCATGCAAACACAACTGCTTTACGGTTGAAACACGAATGGAACAGAGGTACCCAAGCAAACGACTTCTGTACAAAGTCTCCCATTGGTCATTTGTGTGACAAACGGCGCCATTTGCGATCTAGTAGTACCGATAGATGGAACTATGACACTTAAACTGTTGAACGAATTTAAATGATATTTGTCAGACAGATAGTTTTAGATTAACATACCTATGTTTATCCTAATTTAAAACAGTAAGGCCGTGGCATACAGCTGATATTTCGATATTTTTTTTACAACATATTAAGCTGTGATTACATAATTGATATAGGGGAAAAGCATATGTAATAAATATACTTGCATCACTTTCAAAAGGAAAATGGTGCAAGTAATTAACAATTGTAATATTAATTGGATTAGGCCACGGTTTAGACTCGACGGCGAATGATAGCAAATCCGCGCAAACACCGCACAACGGCGAGAAGAGCGAAACGCAGTCGGCGAAACGCAAGCGTAGACGGATCAACGCGTGGTCCAAGGGGCTGGTTGTTAAACGGCAGAAAACCTCACACAAGGTAAAACATTATTTAAGTGTCTTGATTAGTTTAAATTTAATAATTTTGTAATAATCGTTCGTTGATTTTCGTTCAGGTATAAAATAACCTTTTTTTTAATCTTTTATTTGTTTTATATATATATATATATATATATATATATATATATATATATATATATATATATATATATATATATATATATATATATATATATATATATATATATATAGGTGCATCTACTCAATGAATTTTAAAATACTCTTATAATATCTTATGCCTTACTAACGACAAATGACATTTGTAAATTGATTGTAATGTTATTTTTGACAATTATTATTGGTTGTTTTGTTGCTTCATATTTTTTTGTTTTGTTATATTTTATGATATCTTCTTGTTACTTGTAAAAATATTTAACACAATGTAATATTGTAGCGAATAAAAATAAATTGACAATTGAAATTGTATTATAATATTGTAAAATAATATATTGTGTAAACAGACTAATGTAGTAGTTACATCTAATTAAAATTAATATAATTTAATGTTGCGATGATGGTTTTTGTACAACGATTGTGGTAAATAAACATGTGGTTTGCCTGATGGTAAGCACTTCGTTTTAAAAAAAATATATTCATGTTATTTACCATTCAATTATTGATATTCTAAAACAAACAATGTATATCTTATTGATAATGTGTACTCGTACCAAATGTTGAACCTTAAAAGTATTGTCGTAAATATTTTTAACCTCCTAACTCTTGGTTATGCATAACACATTAGCAAAAAAAAATTGTGGAATTAATGTTTTTTTTTTTGCATGGCAACTCAGTTTATGAACGCAACTCTTAGAAGAAAAAAAAAGTTCTTTACAGTTAATTTTTCCTATTTTCTTCCCATCATTTTATGCCCTTTTTTTTAGGTAGTTTACCAAGTTTTGTTCGAAATTCGAAAACAGTTTATACCTCCGAGAGTTAGGAGGTTAAATATTGTTATCTCCAACAATGATAAATATTAATATATAGAATTTGAAGGATACAAGCATGCCGATAACGGACGAGGAGTCGAAGGAGAACAAGCCGATCACGTCGACGCCGTTGCCAAACGGCGACGCGAGCTCGTCCGCGTCCGACGACGACGCACCGCTGCGGCCGCCTACCGACGAATTGTTACACATCACGACGCAGCCCGCCAACAATCATCTGCTTGAAAGGTGAGCTTCTTCTTCTTTCATCACTTGTAACTACAGTGATGAAAAGGACAAATGAAGGAGTACAAGTCTATCATGTAAGTGTCGTTGCCGAAAAGCAACGATGCGTCGCTGCGACCGTTCATTGGTGCATTATTCTATATTACAATGTAGCTTACAATCATATGTTTGAATACCCTTCAAGCATATAATTGCTAAAGCTTCTAAAATCGTTTACAGCGATAATGGTCTTCTATCTGTTCTCCTTTAACTAAAGGTTGTCTGTAAGAGATTGCCCTAGCGATAAAACCGCCATTTGTATCTTTATGTGTATATTTCAATCTGTATTTATGTTACTGTATTTCACTTGAATTATTCACTTGTCATTGTATATTTTTATTTATGGTGCAATAAAGAGTTAAATAAATAAATAAATAAATGATATCTAGAAAATAGAATCAAATCGTTTATATATACGGCGACTCACCTACGATTTGTTGTTCACCACTATGCAGCCATTTTTTTTAATGGGTGATAATGGAATGGTAACCCCGCCTGCGCTATCGGGATACGCTAGCGGGGCACCAGTGAAGCATGATAGGTGAGGATGAAGCAGGTCAGTGGGCCAATCGTGACGAATTTAACAAGAATTGTTCACGACGGTTTCCAGGGGGAACCACGTGGAAGTCGATCTAATAGGGCATATTGCTAGCAATGGGGCTGTCAAACTCCATTACTAACAATCCCTTTCCCCCCACTATGCAGCCATTTTACAACCTACATCTATTAGTCAGGGACGATATTTTTAACATTTGCGATTGACTATTTAGTTATCTACTAACTTCAGTTGTAGCGATTAAATTTATTTACCGTTTTGACGTTATTGTGTCGTTTATTAAAATATAGTATGTAGTATAATATATATATTTATAACAATATAAATAACGTCCACGGACCAATTTTAGTTTCGGAATGACTATATTACTGTTTATAATTACTGTTTTCTATCCAAAGGCTGCCTGGAAGTGATCGCTCTTAGCTATAAGGCCGACTATTGTTTTCTTATCGTAATATTTTCTTTCAATTGTTTGTATTTATAACAAGTTTACTATTGTAATCTTTAAGAGTGTTTATCTATTTATAATTGTGATTAACGAGTGTGCCAGTGTTATAAAAAATGATAAATATTAATAAACCATTTATATTTTTTACAGCCCAACAAAATCCACAGAGAAGGCAACCACAAAAACATCACCAAAGAAAAGAAATTCAGGACATGATACATCAAACGGAGGTATATATATTTTTTAATTATTAATTTAATAATTAGAATGATAAAAATGTATTTTTTTTTATTTTAATTTAAATCTGCGTAGTGAGAAATTTCATCAGATATATGCAAAGACGATATTTTAAAAATACAGTTTTTGGAAGGCGGGGAAGGGAAGTTAAACTCACATCTTTTACCCTTAGGCGCTCGAACCAGTTCTACGACCGATTCACTAGACGTCTATTTCGAAACTTGCGCCAATATGGGGAAGGGAACTTATGTATTACAATTTTTTTTGTGTATCTATTTCAGATGGCGATAAAGTACTGATAAACAAGACTGAGTTAGATAACGTTGTATATAAGAATGCGAAGGCGTTGAGGTCAATAGGTCTGGAGGCGCTGTTGGACCTAGACGCTCAACTCTCAGCGGTCATACGAGCTTACTCCACGAAGCACGATCGCACGAAACTGCCGCACGAACTTCACGCCATTGTCAATAGGTACCTGCAGTTAGCGAAGAAATGAAGGCGAATGCGACGGAGATAATGTGTTCAACGCTTACTGTAAGGACATCGAATTTTAGATAGAAAGGTTTGGTCCATGTTTTTAGAGTAAATTTGTTGGTGTATTTATTTGGATGACGTCGGCTATGTTGAGTGAATTCGATTGTTCGAGGTGTGTCGTAGAGATGTCGCCTGTTAGCGCGCATTTGCTGTCCACTTTGAATTTTTATCATAGTAGTATTAGTGAGATTGTTTGTGTGTGGGTGTTGTCAAATTATTGAAGTTTAGGTCATGTTGTTGAGGGAATCGACTGCTAACCAGTTGCTGATCAATTAGCAATCACGATTTAGTACAAGAATAGGCACGGCGTTAGGCATACTAAGGTAGTATGTGTAAACAAAGTCCTGAGAAACTAACTCAGTTTTTCAGTCGACAGATGAAAATGGATTATTCTAACATGTTCGGGACTGGGTGTTTTGTATTGGATATTCGTCGTCTACTTTCTCATAATACAGGGAATCCTATTTTGAGAAGCAGACAATTAGATGGTGTAACTGGCATGGCACTTAAAAATGTTTGTCTTTGCAGTTAAAATAATGTTTAGTCATGGATGTTGTGATGTGAGGAAACAGTTATGAATGTATGTGTTAATTGTTTACAATAAATTGTGTTCATTCAAAGTGGAGAGCCAGTATCAAAGACAAAGGTACATTATACTAATTTGATTTTAGAAAACATATTTTCCTTACATATTTTCTTTAAATTACTTGACAAGTGATTGAAGATATAAACGATTTTTTAGAATAGAAGCGTTCCTCGGAAGTATTGTTTCTTCTAAAAAAATACTGCCATAGATAAATTAAGATCGTAATTAAGACGATATCAGTTTGTTATATTTGATTGATCGATGAATGAAACAACTAAAATTGTTTGAGTATTATTATGTATAAAGAAAAAAAAAACTGCTTCGAAACACCTTTGTCAAATTACACAGGTATAATTAATTGAATGTAAACCATTCCTAATTAGCCAAATTGCGAGTGAGAAATATCAATAAATAAATATTGTGTCCGGTTATTTATAGGAAAGAAAGAAGTAAGAATAGGTGGTCGTACAAGATGGAGATAGAGCTATATAAACGACTATTTTTCCTCTCTTTCTTTGTACTATATCGCCGGTCACTAAACTAGGTTAGGTTAATCCGGTTGTTAAATTGCCCGCGGTCTGTGATATGTAGAGGAGGTTATATAGTGTGTACATAACATTTAATCAAATACTATTTATTTTTCACTCGTACGCTAAACAGTTTCATCTGTCGCGGTTCCACATGTTATGTGTAGAAAAATATATCCATAAAAGACTGAAAACAAGCCATTTGTGTACAATCAGCTTCGTAAAAATATTGCATAAGTTTCGGTTTTATCTCGATATTATCATCATCATTATATCAGTCGTTGACTGTCCATTTCTGAATATAGGTTGTTGTCACGCTTGGCTTGGCTAGGAGGGTTGACAACTCCAGTTTGGCGATATTTTAAGAGAGATGCTTCTACCAATTCCTCGACCATTCGATCATCGATCTATATGAAGCCGATTGTACAGATACGAAAGGCGTGACTGATTTATTTATATTTAAGTGCACGACGATATCAATTAGTTCAAATTTTTAATATTTTTTATAAGCTAATTTCTTTATAAAAATGTTTTTACGTATGTGCAAATTGTACTTCGATTGAGAGTAATTGTTGTTTGATTTGATCGGTTTATGGGCTCAGTGGACCGCGATGGGTGAATATATTTATATATTTTTATCATAACGACTTATATATGTATGTCTATGAATCAGTGCAAATATACAATTTGGCTTTTTAGGTGGGAAAAATTAAGCACTGATTTTATTAACTTATACCGATTACCAAATAAATTTAAATTAACCACAATGTTAATCGTAGTTTAAGATTATATGTGCTAACAATATTTTTTTTTAATAGTTAAATTATAGTGAGTTTCAAGAGTTCAATTCAAGTTTTTCGAGTTAGTATCTGATGTAGGTTAATACCTTGTGGACTCATATTTAATGACTTAGATTGGTAACCAATTTAAAAAAGGAGATTCGATATTGAACTATAATTAATTTATCGATTCATCGTCACATCAAATGAATTTATTTTAATAATAATTTTTAACTAGTATCGGTTCTATATTTATTTTTTGAAGTTTGAAGTTGCTTTGTTTATTTGAAATAATACATATATATTATTGCGCTGCCAGAAAAAAATTACAGAACATCTTTTTACTATTTTACAAAACCGAAATTATTTAGTGTTAAATAAATAAATTACAAAGATTAAAATCGAAAATATAAATACCTATACTTATTTATAATTTGTATTGTAGTTACACAATAATTATTTGATCTGATAACCATAGGTGTTCCCCTATAACAGTAGGATAAAGTTCATGTTTTACATGATGACATCCCATATTATCTCTCTTTGTCATTTGTAACCGAAGTTCTATGTAAGAAGAGAGAATATTTGGTAACTTGCGTCTACAAGGTATTAACCTAGCACGATGTCTGTTAAGTACTGTTGCCATATTGTGCGACGTTGTATTGTGAGAGCTAAGTATGTAGTTAAATTTATCGATAAGTCGGAGTGTAGTTTCGCAGAGTTTGGTCTGAATCGTGAAGCTTATAATGGAATAGAGGTGGCGCCGTGAATCCCAAAAGCCGATAAATTTGGACTCGTAATTTCTCGCTGTTTTCCATCTCGCTTACACTCTAATCGCTGTAATACAGTAGCTGAAAGAAGGATATGTTAATTAACATTGAAATATTTTCCATCTCACTTACGTTCAGCGGTGAAGTTGAGACAAGTAACTACGTCTTTTAAGGCCAAATTTATTAGGTTCTATTCTGTGTTCACTGTTCACGTTGCAATCTCTATCTGTTTTTATGGATATATTACGCTATCAAATATACATAAAAAATATATATAAAATTAGCTCTGATACAAGTATCTATGAGAGGTGAGCATAATATTCAGAATTTGACATACTTTAGCTACTAAAAATAATTAAAACAAAAATGAGAAATGAGAATTTATCAATTTACTAAGATTTTCGATACTGGTAAAAAGTTTTTCATTATCTTCTGTTGGTAAGGAACAACAAATGAGAGTAGTTGTATATTGCCACCATTCTATATTTATAATTTTAAAATATACCTATGATCAACGTATTTGACAGTGTAATATTTCCTTAAGCATTAGAACACATTACTCAAAATAAATATCTATACAGAAACTAATACTATAGTAATTACTACTACACGTGGATGTAGCGACCTCTAGTGGCTTGAATAAAGAAACATTAAAATGTTTCACGAATTGTGTTCTTAGATTCAGTTGAGGGCAAACTTTGTGAACTGTACTGAAGAATGGTTGTTGTCTAATAAAAGATGTCGATTTTTAAATGTGTAAGATCTGTTGATTAGAGTTACGTCTGTCGTGGTTCTGCACTGTGAGACTGTCCGAACGTTTCAATGCAACATGTCCGTTAACCAATCATAAGAATAAATATACAGGTAGAACTAACACTTCTGTAAATTCAATAATAATATTTATAGCTTGATTCGATAGAAATTAATGAAAAGGTTATTAATCTTGTTTTTCTTGAAAAGATTGCTCACAGCAATAAGACCGCCTTACTGTACTTATACAATTGTACCGTTGTGTTTGTAAATTGCCTTGCTTATTTCCTATATTGTATAATGCAAATAAAGTATACTCATTCATTCTTGGCTAAATAATGAAACATTCTTTAAATGAAAACAATTCGAGACATTGAATCATTTAATACATTTTTTATTTCTTTATCAGCAGACTGTTTTATAGTTGGGTTAATTATTAATTTGTTTACTTACTTTACCTTTAGTTTATTTACACGTTGGTAAAATATGAAAATATTTGTGACAACCCTCTGCAACTTATACGGGGATTGAAGGAAAAAAATAGTATATTTTTGCAGTTTATATTTAACTTATGTGTGATTTCTACCTACTCTGTTTATTCTTATGGACAAACGATAAACAATAGTTCCCCAATCAGTCCGAGCCAGAACTCTGTTCAACAAATAGTGGACAGGGTCGAGTGCAACCCAACTCGTACTTTAACTTATAACTGTTTAAGGTCTATATTTAAGGAAATTATTTATTGTTGACAATATAATGTAATGTATATAAGTACGCACTACTTTCAATTGACTTTGTACTTTAAATCTCACAGTTTAAAGTCTATAATGTACTGTATTGGAGTACACACTGCCGCTCGGACACATTGTACACATTTTCTTCAATTGTATGTCTAGTTTCTTTACACTATATTCATATCTCTATTTTTTTTTTTATTGTTTATCTAATTTCTTATAAATTGATTTCGTAATTATCGGCACGGTTTAGTTTACATAAATTTATAAAGCTTATTATAAATTATTACCTAGTTGATTTTTTTATATTTAAATCAAATAGTACTTCGTTATTCTTATGTTTTTTACTTCATGAAACTTACAGTTCTATAGTTCGTCAACTTTGTATGCGTCGCTCCTGCGGGGACGAAGTGTGCAGATAGTGCTGTTCTCTTGCTTGTTTTACCATCTGTGTCCCGTACATGTTTTACTTCGCCGCCTGCACACCCCATGCACTCGTTAAGGAAGCTACAAACTAAGTTGACGTGTTATAGTAGTCTATTTTTTCATTATATTTCAGATTATTTTTGTTAGAGGCGCTGTACGTATTTCCGTATAAATATTTAACGCATTTGTTACCACTTATCGCATTCGCCTCTGTAAACCCATGGAAAAAAAGCTGATACAATAATAATTGATAATGAGAGAGAAAATGTACTTAATTGTATTCAATTACTGTCCGATTTATTTTAATTTGCGAGGTCCAATGGAGGGATGAATATGAGTAAAATTTATACACAGGGTGAAACAGAATCAACCATATTGAATATTTCCATCAAATAAACGTGACTCTAAAATCGACAATTTACTTTTTCCTTTGTTCAAAACGTTCAGCTTTTAAGTATAAGAGATTCAAAAATTTTCTGTCGTTTTTTAATTTTTATTCACAAATTTTTTTGTCCTAACACGTTCGATAACATAAGTAGATTCTTAGTTCAACTTACCTCTAAAGATTTAGATTTCATCCTGTGTAAAGGTTGTACCGAAAAATTTATAAACAAGTTTCAAGTTGACAATTATTAAAGCTGCTTAATGTAAATTGTTGAAATCTAGCAATTTTTCCCCAAGAAACATGAGCTGTCTTCATCATCTTTGCAACGTATCCAATGTCCACTGAAATAAGGCACTTCATATTTCATAACAAAGTACGGCCATGAGCCTCCTACATCCATCATGTTTCTGAAACACTGAAGGCATTTCATGGGCTAAATTATAAAAATGAAAATAAATGTACCACGTGACCGCGCGGTTTGCGTGAACGTTTCGAAATCCCTCATATATTGACCCATGTTTCTTGGAAAAAGTTTGAAGGTACTCCAAAATATTATAAACAGGATAAATGGGAATAAAGATATTGCGAATATGGTATACCCATGGTAACGGTTTTCAATTTTAACCCATCATAATATTGTTGAATATTTTATAATGATATTTATTTTGTACATGCTTTTTTTTATTTATAAATTTACTTTTTAAATTCATATACGTATTAATACTTACTTGTTGTAACCACTCATTGTTTACAGCTGATGTTTTTATTTCCATTTTTAATTTAGGTATATGGGGGACATATTCCACTATCGAGTATATAGGAATGTATGAAGCATTCGCGAATTTTAAAATGGGCGAGTGAAGTCAATTATATATAATTATATATATACATACTCTTCATTGTATCCTCCATAAGATAATAGTAAATTTATTATAATTCCAAACAATTTATCATCTATGGAGCTGTTTAAGTGGTTTCTAATTTCTATTGCTTTTTATTCTGTGTATGGAATCTATTAACGTAGGTAGGATCACATGTGTTCCAGGTGTAATAGTAGTTGATGTTGGGATCATTTGGTGCGATCTGTTTTTATTTCTAATCTATATTTAAGATTCTTAATATATTAAAAATAAAGTATAAATTTAAACGCTATATTGGTACGATAGTGTAATAAGTCCCTTACGCTCTCCATACAGGACCATCAGTTTTTGTTGATTTAACACGATGGAAATAATAGTAATGTGTTATAAAGAGATTTATCAACAAAACAAACCCGTGTGATATTTATATAAGAAATGAAACACGTCAAGTGGATTATCAGTAGTTACCTACATCCAAAATGGAATCAAATTCTATGCCATAGAGTTCGCAATGTTGACATGTTTAATGTGTATTTTTCAATTAATCTGCTTGCAATTGCTCAATACGGAGTGTATGTCGGACATTTTGTAAACACTCACAATATCCACCGGTTAGTGTAATTTTGTAATAAAATTGTATTTAAATTAAACAAAATAAAAGGGTATGATTAATGTGATATCACATTTTGTGTTTTTTTTTTCAACAGACTTCTAAAAGAGGAGGTTCGATTCAAATATATATATATATATATATATATATTTCGCGAAATCATTGCGAATTGTGATACGATTTGAATGATACTTTTTTAAAAAAGATTTATTTATATTGGTACATTGCGAATTTTGTTCAAATTTAAATAGCTTTTTTTTTTTGATATAATCCAACAATTTTATTATGCCTTATTTAACTTTATGTCCTTAGTACCATATCATACAAGTCGTTAACTGTGCACTGCTGAACATAGGTCTCCCCCCACAAGAGTGGTTTTGAGAGTAGTTTCCACGCTTGGCAGCAGGCAGTTATAAGAGGAACGCTGCTTCCCATCCCTCCACCATTGGGTTCTCTTAGTCGCCTCTTACGGCTTCCACGGGAAAGGAAGGGGTGGCCCATTCTATGCCGAGACCATACGGCAATGTCCTCAGTAGTAGCTTATAAATTATCCTGTAAAGTCTTTTTTTATTGCTTTATAGTATTATTTTATTTATAAACAATCTTCAAAATCAAATTTTCTTATTTTCCTAAAAATTCGTCTCTCTAAGTATTTAGGAAAAAAAAATTACAAACATCATTTAGTAGTTTTTACCCGCGAGTTCATTTGCGTGACTGGGATATGTTTATTAAGATAAAAACTAAACTATATCATTCTGCATCCTAATAATACGTGTATATAAAATTTCATGGTAATTAACACGTTAGGGTGTTATAAGGTAACAAACAAACATACTTTCACATTATACTATTAGTAAGGATTACAGACATCGAGAAATATAAGCCAAACCGATCCAGATGTTCTGAAGTTACACTCTCACCAACAAACAGAATTTATTTTTATTTGTAAAGGTAGATTGTAATGAAACAAGATTATTTGATGAATAGTTATATTTCTATTACTACGCATTTCGACGTTCTAAATGAAATGAAATTCTAAGCGAGCTGCCGCGAAAAAAATACGAGTAAAATGAACAAGGCATTTATTAGGTTTTCTTGTTTGCAAACCGTAGCGCAATAGTTGGCATATTGCTTTATAAATAGTAAACATGGCCGTCGATTCGATTTCGGCCATTTCCAAGATTGAAAATTGTCTTAAAGGAGTTAAGGGTGTTCCGTGTATGGGAATGAAACCTCGCAGTGGTATTTCACATTTTTTATTTTTACACTTTACGTCGGTGACCGTAAACGAATTTTACTACATCGCTCCATCATTTCATTTCAATTACACGATAGAATGATACTAGAACATAAATATTTTTTTCGTATTATTTAAGATCAAATAGATAATCTTTTTTACACTCTAATGTAACGATATCATTTAATTTGTCATTATCATTAAGCAAAATACAACAAATTAAATTGTACAACTTATAATTAATTATACTCTTTATCGGAGAGAACAATCATTTAAGAGCTAAACCATTGTAATTATAATATATAAATACTCGTAACAAAAATGAAGGAACTAAATATTTGTATCTACTAAAGTAATAGAATCACATGTTTATTAACTAAAAAATAAGTACTCATTGTCTTATATATACTAACTATACTTTACGTCCTTAGATTTGGCTCCTGATGAAATTCATTTGTAATAATATCTACGCTTAATGAAAATAGTGCCGAGAAGCCAATTACGATTAGGTAGTTAGTCGGTAGTGCCTGTCACGTGTCACAGGTAGCGAGAATCGAGGAAGAAACTGGAAATAAAGCCCTGGGCGCACAGCGCAACTCAATCCGACCGTGGAATGAACACACCAAAGATTATTCCGCCTCAGCCGGCGAAATATCCAATAAAACTTATCAATATAATTATTTCATCAACCTTATTAACAAATAACAAACTTAATTAAAACGTTTCAATTAAAACTTTAACAAAATCACGCTAATACTGCTGAATTTGTACGAATTAGGTAATTGTCCGATAATATACAACGCAATATACAATCACATGTCACAACGTAATGGAAATAAGAGAAAACATATTCTAATATAAAGATTATAAGAGTGCGATTATAAAAAAGAGATATAGCGGCGGAGGCTTCTGAAGGCGTTGAAAAACACAAGTAGTTATCGTTACCGAAACATGGTGCTGATAATGAACATTCATTAATTTTTTTTGGCACATGTATTTTTATACAGACATCATTAATTACTCCATTGACCTTATTTATTTTACAATTAAGTAGGTACATGAGAATCATAAAGTCATGGAACATGCAGCTTTTCTATAACCGAATAAACACAAATAAGTGAAAGCAACAGGACTCTGATAAACTATAAGTAGTTAAATATTCAATAATACAATGTAATTAGTTTATATATAAAATCCCTGTAATGATAATATTGTTATATGTATGACGTGACACTAGGTGCTCTACTCTGTACTGTAGTGAGGCTCGCTGTCGCTCAGAGTTACTGTGTTCATTGTGCAATGTACAATAATTATATAAAATAGAATCGTAAATAGTGTTCAGTCTTCTGTTAAGAGTTTTTGCAGTTTATTAAAAATGTTACTTCGTTAATACTCTAATTAGGGATAATGGAATATTTTAAGTGAATCAGTGGGTGTAGCGGGTGTCGCGCGTTGAGATGTTTGTCGTACAAAAGTTACGACACAACAAACAAAATACTGTTAGTGTTTATGGGAATGTACATAGCATAGTTATAAAGGAAACATTAAATTTTCAACATACTTAAAAATCATTAATACCTATACAAATAATCGTATATACAATAAGTAAACCATTTACGTCTCTAGTCACTTGATATCACTAATCAATATGAAATCATTGTATACAATTATCTAAAGCCAGGTAGGATTGAACCTCGATTTATTCTAACTTTCATTATTATTCACTAAAATCTTGAAAGCTCCTTTTTATTTGAACATTGAGTGCAGATACTTTAATTTGTCTAACCTGACGCGCACTGTCCTTTGGTACATTGAACGGATTGTCTAGATGGGCTTATAAACCTCTGTACAGTAATCGTAATAGGATTTGCTTTCTACAATCCGCGCCGATGAAAATGTATTAGATTGTTAATATTACGCCCACAGTGTGAAAGGCCTACTGAACTCGGCGGGTTATATAAGACAAATCCTATTATAATCACTCTAAGGTGGGTTTTTTAACCCCCCAGTTCTTGGGAAAAGTAATAATAAACGCAATTCATACTGGATTATTATGTTATGTGTAAATTTTTGAACTATCTGATATAGAAAATTATTCAATTTTAATCATAAAATACTTAAATTTCACTGCCACTATAATGAATAAAATAAATATAAATAAAGAAATTAACCAGTGAAAATTAAGTACAAAATGATTATGACTACTAAAGAAGTTTTAAATTCATGGATATTTTAAAAATATCACTTCATATATGTTTTTTTATAGTACTGAGGTGGCAAATAAGCATACGGCCCAATTGATGGTAAGTGGTTACCATAGCCTATGAACGCTTGCAATACCAGAAGCATTACGCGCGAATTGCCGACCATGAAGAAATTTCTTTACCACTTTTTGAAGAACCTCAACTCTTAGAAAAATCTCGACAGGAAGCTCATTTTATAACCTGAGCGTTCATGGAAGGATCCATCTCTGTAATCGCGCTGTACACGATAATTCAGGCTCTAAGGTATGGAGGTGAACTCCCTGTCGGTGGTGAGTTGTACAATGGTAGAAAGTGATCGTGGATATCATGTTATAAAATTCCTCACAACACAGTCCATTGTACAAGCGGTAGAACACGCAGAGTGAGGCAAAATCTCTCCTAAGACTTTTAAGGGCTCGATACCCCTTGTAATCCTAGTTCATCGACAATTTTCATAGCTTTGCACTTAAATGAAGAACTCCATGTTGGGCTAGATTTACTACTTATAGAGCAGCAATCCTTGATTCGGCACGAAGTATTACTTCGCTTTAAATACACTGTTTTTGGATGCGAGATCGACTTTGTTTTCTAGCTGGCCACAGAACTGTACGTTAGCCAAAAATCCCAATGCTTCTAGAGATGATAAGGGACGTGCCTTGGCATTGTGGTGCCACAACAAATGGGGTTTTTAGTGGTGATAATCCCGCTAATACACAAGCTGCGCAAGCTTATGTTTTAGTGAAATTAAATTGGACTAAGTTTTGTTATCCCCAATCGGTGATCCTGGCTAGCGTTCTCTCGATTTGAGACATTTGTTCACGATTGTCCTCCACGATGGAATGAGGGATTTTATTACGACCCGTCATCCCCAGTGCTGTTATGACATGTTAACCTGAGGTGGCATAGTAATAAATGTCGCCTAAGGTTAACATCTTTGATATGCAGTAGAAATAGCGTTGGGGATAGCACTGAGCCTTGTGGGGTGCCAGAATTAATATCCATGCTATCGGAGCAGCTACCATCGACAATGATTTTTATGTGTTTGCCAGACATAAAGTTGGCAATCCGTTTATATAGGCTCTCGGGATATTTATAATAGGGTAATTTCAATAGAAGAATCCAGATACAAAATAATACAGTATGAGTTGTGATTACAGCTCCCGCTGAATTGTTTCAGCCTTCAACGAAGCCTTATAAGGGATCACATATTATAAAATAGATTTGTTATTTTACTGAATACCTTGACACTTTATGTTTTTGGTTGCGAAGTAATTTATTCAATTAATCGTCATGACCACTTCGATGGAAGTTAGCGTGTCTTGGTTTATGTTTTGTGTTAGTGTCAGATGTTTGACTAGTGCGTCGGACCGTCTGTGTCGTGTCTGCTTCCCTACCAGAACAGTTCACTGTTATTCACTTCACTAAATACTACAACAATTACAAATACACTACTATTTACCATTTTAGACACTTAATGTCTATAATAATGGTTAATTCTTTATATCCCCATCTCCCCATTAGATTTATCAATAACTATTTACATTTAAAATTGTTTATCATCGAATATAACTATTATTACGAAATATTTTACAAACTTTGGTGAAATGCAGAAGTGGAATCGCACATTTAACACATAATATCTACATTGGAATTATAACACAACGGGTCCGTCGTCTTATGAAGCGAAACTTATTTTGTACAGTAACTAAAATAGGCGGCTTGCGCCGCAAACGATATGGAGTCACCTACCAACTAATGTGGAATGTATGAATGGAATGTTAACAATAAAAATGTGTTCGGAAAATCTTAACGATAACAATCACAACACCTTTCATACTTATTGCACTCCTTCGGAATAAATTATCGCCTATCACTTACGCGATATAATATACATTTACAATATTAACACATGTTTAAATATAAATTTAACTAATTTTAAAGTGGACGCCGCTCGTCGCGAGCTACGGAGGTGTTTTACAAATACTCTCTAAAAATATTGTTACGCAGTTACTGGGGAAACACATTAGCAAAACTGAAACTTTTATAGTGTATTTCAAAGAGATCACAACTTATACACGTGTTCCAGCAAGTATTACACATCGTAACTAACGCACGCATACAGAACCCGGTGTCCTCATTATAGACGAAAAAAAAAATATTATAAAATATATTAAAAAATGTTTGTACCTCATATAAAAATACAGTAGGTTAAAGGTACTGAAAAGGATATACAAAAATAAGAAATACATATTTAGGTTTCTTTCAAAAAGGTAACTTGATTCTGTATACTTTGGTAATTCACTAACCAAATTCCAGTTTTACCTATATACTCAAGTGTTCCTCATTTGATACCTAATTTGTTTTAGTCCGTAATAGAGCGACCAGCTAATCCAATTAGGTCTTACTATAAGGTCCTCGTTTAGCAGCCGAAGGTATAGTGGGATTCAAAGACTTGTTAACAGATGGAAGACGGTGCAATTTTAGTCTTGCCCGTTGTGATGGAGGAGCGTGCGATTATCAGGTGGATGCGGCGGATGTGATGGCGCGCGGTAAGAGTCTCCTTCCTCATCTGCAGAGTTTTCCTTTGACCGGTCGCTCTTACAGTCCTCTTCTTTTGTCACACCCGAAAGAGAGTCCAAAGCCATTGGCATGGACTGATATAGCTCCCGCGCTTTGTCGTTTGGCGGGAGCAGATGCAGCATGTTCAGCGGCATCGGGAAGCCCGGAGTAAATTCAGGATAAAATCCTGGAGGGAATGGATTAAACATAGGATTTGAAGAGATATCCGGTTCGGAGCTCGCCGGTCTTTGGCTTGAGTTTTGATGATCGTCTTTATCGTGGTGTTTACTCGGGGGGTGATTGTTGTTGTTGTTGCCCGAGTTGAGGTTCAGCACGTCGAGAGGTCCGCCAATGCAGTCCTTCCGTAGCTGTTCCAGCTTTAAACTTTTGCCGTACTTTCCGCGTACGTACATCAATAGGGAATTGTAAGGTATACCAAAGATCCTTGACGCTTGACTCGTAGTCATTTTTTTGTTCCATACATGTTGTAGTGCTTCTGTCAGTTCGGCGTTCGTCCAGGATCTGGGTGGGCCGCCTCGTGGTGCGCTGTGCTGCCCTTTCGGTCTCCCTGTTAAAAAAATTGCAAATATTTAGTAAAAATACCAATATTTTCTGTCACATTATAGTGTAGTTAATTAGGTTATGCACAATATAAGTAGTTGTATGATTTACGGGCCAACAGAGTGCAGGCAGACGGCGCAAGGGGTCGGCACGACATGTGCCGTGTGCCGCGCGCCACCGCGGCATTACGCGAATGCACCACTATCTAATAACCGTGTTTTGGCTGAGCAATAACTCCGTGTACTGAAATGAGCGGGTTGCGCGACATTTTGTTGGCGGCGATTTGTCATTAATTTGTTACGAGCACGCGACTATTATGGCGAGTTTTGTCAAAAAGTAATGCGGACATGCATATGCCGGCGATGTCGCCCCACGTAACTTTATAGTTTTATAATTTCGGCGGAGCACGTTAACTCGATTCCGATCAGATAATTCGAAGAACGTTTCGGATTACCGGCGGAATGATGTTTTATTATGGAAATTAGTTTTTCTTTTAATAGTTGTCCCGGGTCACGCGACTTGCGCCGCGCTCGGGTTGAAATTAAAAGGATGTTTTTCATTTGTAGCTCGTTAGCATTTTATGAGGGAGCGAGGGCATGCATCAGCTCGTCTCGGACTGGGCGCTAATCGATCGGTGACTATTGTGTCGCCGCGTCGACGTGGATGCGACGCCCGACGTTCGGAGAGCTGCCGGCTCTCCTGTATCGCATTCAAAGCATACGTTAGAGTCGCCGCCGCTTGTTCTGTTCCCCTATGAGATACGTTATCAGATCGTCTTAATAAACATTGCTCGGAAACAATGGGCGTTTAACATTTGCGCGGAGCGATTGCGATACGAGTCTACGCGAGATGTGTGATGGGTTTGCAGAATGCCGATGCAGTTTGTACACTATTATTATTTCTCCCATTGTTACGTAAGGATCCAATAACCAGATATTTATTGTTTTTGAATACATTAATAAAAAATAAATAAATAATCTTGAGAATTTATTTCGATACAGGGGCTTTTTTTTTTCAGGATCTCCGTGAACCTAAGTTTTAGATTAGTACGTCGTAAATGGGGCACAATAATGATGTAAATATATATAGGAAGTTTGATTATGTACTTAGTTTTATATTTAGTTTAAATATATAGATTATTTATTAGCTGTGTTTTTATAGTATATTGTTATTTAGTTAAATTTATTTGATAGGTATATATCAGGAAATCTTTACAAATCTATTTATTTTAATTTTTAGTTATATAATTTTTTTTTCTAAGGAAAGTTTAAGACATTTATTTCTCTAAAGATTTACATAAATCACTTAAATGAGAAATTTAAAACTATGAGCATGCACTTAATATCTACTGTTAGCGAGCATAATTTATCAAACATCAACTAAAAATAAAACATAATGTGAAGCTACCTTCATTTTATAAAAATTATAAAACACAATGCGACTCAATACAACAAGTTGCTTATAATGTAAGGGTAAATCTACAATCTTCGGTTAACTGATGGTTAAATTACACTTATTGTACTATTATTTTATTTATTATTTGTCTCATTCTGTTATGTTATTATTATTAATTATTCAAAATAACTTTATATCCAAACTATGAAACCCCAACTCGTAACAATAGTATTTCTTAATAGATACGTCATTAAACCCCTTAAGAAAAGAGCATATTCTTTAGAATATTTTAAGTGATATCCATAATTTGGCAAATACAGTGTGACTTCAAAGTAGTTCAAGTTTCTTCACTACTTGTGTAAGTAATTCATATACATATGAGTATTATTTTTTCCAACGTATTTTCGTCTATTTCGTTGTTAGTTTAGTTACTTTAATATGGGGTATTTAAAAATACATGGTCATAAAAATTTAAAAGTCCGGCAACGCACATGCAACTCTCTCGTGTTATTTATAGACGTTCGTGGGCGACGGTAGCAGCTTTCCATGAGTTGGACCGTGTATTCGTTTGCCTCTTTTTTTTATACAACATAGAATGGCATGGCGGTTGACTGGTAGACAATGCCATCAGGCATTAAGTCCGCCCTGTGGACATTTTTCAATGTGTGCAAAAGTATAAATAAATAAATAAATCGCAAACAAGCTGACGGCCCATCAGATGGAAAGTGTTAACCGTCGCCTATAGACTTTCTAACAATAAAAAAATGGAAGGTAACTATTAGTATATACGTGTCTATCTTAATCGTTTATTGACTCAACTACGAGTTCCTCTTCGTAGTTGGTTCTTGTTTTGATAAACTTTACTTTTTTGTAACTGACAAGTCCTTTCCATTAAAATATATATATATATTTAATGTACCTAAGTTTAGAACTTTAACTTTATTTAATATACATTAGGATTTTTGATGATGCCCTATGTTACCCTTACATTATACAGATAGAGTGTCTCCATACAAATGCTTCGAGAAAAGCGGGTCAACTTTTCCATACAATTTTGCGTGATAAATAGTCATGAGTGTTTCCTTTATAACTTCTATATTTATTTTGCTTTATAGTTTTTGCATCTTTTTAATACGTAAAAACTCATTGTATTTATTATATAATTAAATACATGTAAAGATATATTATGTGCGTAAGTATATAGAAAACTGATAAGAACACGAGTCAGCTAATTTGATAGTTAGCTGACAAATAGTTGACCCGTTTTTGAGACTATAATAACATAATCTAAGTGGGGGTGGGGGGGGGGGAAGGTATTGTTAGTAATGGAGACTGAGAATCCCATTGCTAGCAATATACCCAATCAGGTCGACCTGCTCGCGGTTTCCCCTGGACACTATCATGGTTAATTCCTGATGAATTCATCATGATGGGCTAACTGACCTGTTTTCATTCTCATCTATCACCCTTCACTGGTGCTCCGCCAGCGTATCCCGTTAGCGTGAGTGGGGTTACCACACCATTTTTACCCAACAAAAAAAAATATAATCTAAGTATATAAAGTGACCTAAACTCACCAGGTGCAGTCTTAATGATTATAGCGTTAATACTAATAAAATAATAAAATACTTACATTTCTTTTTCACGTTGGTGAAGAGTTGTGTGTCTAGGGGCGGACCCCGGTGTTCCACGTCCATCAGTGGGTACATCTTGTGTTCCATGCCCGGCGGGAACAGTCCCAGGGGCGAGTCTAGCCCGAACACTGGGGACAATAGATTTGACTTAGAATATTTTGAAAAATATAGCTAAACATTTTTCCTCTTTTCCTTATTTTAAGCTATAGTCTTTTGACTTGTGCGACCGAAATTTGTTCTCTGTTTGAGAAAAAAAACTGTCTTTCTCCTTTCTAAGTATGTGTGTTGCAGCTAAAGTAATAAATCCGGATATCATATATACTATCCAACCATTACATGTAATATTTACAAAAATTAGACAAAGTGATAATTGACTTTGATTTAGTCAAATTAACTAGCTATTTTGAATAATATCTTGGAAGATTTTGATAAAGTAATAAAAAATATACTAAGTAAAGATTATAAAGTTTTATATCAATTTGCCTTAAGCATATTTATTTGCAGCAAGCAATAATATGCTGTTATTTTAAATAGTAATAATTATAATTTTTAAACAAATGAATACATGCACCGATCAAAAGACAGTCTGCTGATGTGCAAACTAATTTTATTTAAAGGATGTTTTTGTAATAATTTCGACAATACTCGTTTCATTACTTCTGTTAAATCAGACTAAACCTACGTTTGATATCTTTAGAAGGTATTGAACAATTTAAATTTTTCTCACCGCATAATTACATTTCTGTTTTGCCAAAGCTTGACCAGGAGAGGATGCTATATAGCATCAGGAATAAATAAGTAAAAACAAGCAACAAAGTTATTCAAACAATTAGCATATATTACAAAATATCATTCGTATAGCTAGTAATATTGACAAATAGATGGTAACAAAAGACTAATGATTGATTAAATCCTAAATATTGGAGCATGATATAGCCATACAAATTTAATATAGGTGTATCATTAATATGTATACCTAATCCAAATTATTATTTTCCATTTCAAATAAAAAATATATATATATTAAAATAAATTACTAAATTTAACATTTAAACTAAACAAATATATTAATATTTGGTTTATTCGTTATATTTTGCAGTTTAGTTCTACTACTCGATACTAGATGGCGCTAGTAGTTACGCTTCTACGTTGCTCGAGTTTGCACGAGCAAACTCGAATGTGTATGCACATAAACAATTTTTATAAGTAATCTATTTTTAAATACTTGGCGTAATTCGTAAATAAACTTGGTTATTTTAAAATAAGAGGACAAAGAATAGAGAATATTAAGAAAAATATTAGGTACATGTTTATCTAGTTGTATATTTTATGAATTATATCGGCAAAAATGTATATATGTATATTTATCGAAGTTATTATTATTTGTAATTGTTATAGAAGCAAACTAACTGACGGTTCACTAAATGGTATACGCCCAGTATAAAAAATAGACATCTAAGAACTATGCAATCTTGAAATATATTTAGTCATACCACTAGAGAGTTCTTTAGACTGTGACTACACGTAGATATACTTGCTAAATATGTCTAGTTGTTGTATAGTTGTCCATTGTGGATTCTATAAGATATAAAAGGCTAAGCGCTTTCTCGAAGAAGTGTTCACAGTCCGTTGAACCAAATGGGACAAATCGATATCTCGTGTCTTGCTTTATTGCGAAGTCTTACCTCGTCCTGCAGTCGCGGATTCATTTAAATATATATAGTATCTCAGATAAGTATATTCAGCTATCGATCACAGATTTATTTATGAGTATTTATTAAGTAAATAAATATAATATGATTATCTAATTTCATTCGTGTTTCAACCGTGAAGCAGTTGTGTTTGCATGGCTGTGTTTCGGTTTGAAGGGTGGGATATGGCGTGAATTTACTGGGTACAGAGCAATAACATCGGAGTCCTTAGGAATGGCAACGTATGGGGGTATCATGGGCGAAACAGTATACTCTGTTATGTCCATGTTACTGCTCATGTCTATAGGTGACGGTTACCACTTTCCATCAGGTGGGCCGTCAGCTTGTATGCCATATTCTAACTTGTATAAAAATATATATAAAAATATATATATATATATATATATATATATATATATATATATATATATATATATATATGTATGTATGTATGTATATTAATCTTGATCAAAACTCTCTCTCTCGAATGTTCCATACAATATTTCAAATAGATTTTGTTTAAATGAATCAACAGATTAATGTTATAATAATATAGTAAATAGGTGTAATTTGAATTAATTTTAAGAAGCAGATAACTTTACCAACCCTAAAGTATATAAAAAAAAATATTTAAAAATGTTTGTAAACAAGTCTATTTTAATAAAGATGATTTGAATTTAAGAATTTGAATTTGAATTATTCGTTTAATCCTGATTAATATGTTACATATGAAAGTATGATTGTTACTTCTGAGTATATTAGTAGCTAAGGCAGTCACTATGAATCTTGGTATACATAGGTATATGTACTTCATCGCATGGGATGAAGAAGGACATAGGGAACTTTTTATCCTGATCAGTGAATTTTTTTATACTTCTATAACAAACAAGTATACAGTCCATCTAATGGTAAATGGGGTTACCGTAGTCTATAGATGCCTGCAACATTAGGGATGTCACGCGTGCGTTGACGACCCTTAAAAATCCTTAATACGCCCTTTTCGAAGAACCTCGGTTATGTAAAGGAAGTCATTAATTAATAATAATACTAAGTGCCATATGGTGACACAAATTGTTTGGATCTCAGGCTAGGATACTCTAGTTGAGAGATACCAGATAACTAACATTTGAAGTCACTTTAAAAAGTACCTTTTCTAATTGGCAGGACCGTGAATTGAACCTGAGACTTCATTTACGCAATGCGGCGTTCTTACAAGTTAGTGTGTCGAAGTATAATAAGTTAATATTTGTTTAGACTACGCATATTACATAATTAATATGATTTTAAAAACTGTTTCTGTATAGTATTTATATACCTTAGTATGGTATGCAGGTTGTAGTGGATGTAAAGTCCAAAGCACTTGATATTATTGAATATTTATTATTTTAAAACTATATGTAAAGAGACGACATGTTATACGTGCTGTGTGGCGGGAGCGAGAGAGCTCGAACGAACGAGTCAGAATGAATGATTATTGAACAGTTTCGTTAAGAGTAATATTAAATAATTAAGTATATAGCGCTTAAAGTTGTGAGTTATTCATCAGACGTAATGTTAATATAATAAAATTAATAAATACATTGTATTAAAAATGTAATCTTTAAATGTAAATATTTATTTTTAAGAAAAATCTCTAGGAAAGATGAGTGAATGTACAATTATTTTTTTTCATTTTAGATTAGCTTTTATGTATGCGTGAATTTCAGATTCAGAACTAGTAAAATTAGCCGTGTAGTTCTGGCATAAAATAGACCCATTCTTTCTTATGTCGTGGGTGTGGGTGTCGTAAGAGCTGACTAAAGGAGGGCGAGGGGTGGGCAGCAACGTCCCTCTTAAAACATCTCTAATGCCTAACTGCGTTTGCCAATTCGCCTTCCAAGCATGACAACTATTGGCAAAACCCCACCAAGGGGGAGACTTGTGTTCACCAGTGGACAGTTAAAAGCTGATATGATGATGAGGAAAACTGATGAAATAGACTACTTTAGATGGCGTATCAAAATAAAACATACCCAATTTATAATATAACCTTCGTTTCAATAATACTCTCCAACTATTTTTCCCCTCTCACCGTACTGGTTTCGCTTCAAACTCTTTTCTCCTACATTCTTCACGACTCTGGAATGCGCTTCTTGATGCCATTAGGAGACTACCGACTAAACCGTCTATCAAAAAAAGCGTTCACGCTCACTTTTTTACTTTATCCGAGCAGTAAGTGCTTTATATTATTCTCAATTTCGTGTATAATATAGTATATGTGTAAGTATATTTGTTATTCATATATATTTAATCTTTTATATATGTAATTTTAGTATGTATGTATATCAATAATTACTAGTACCGTATTCGAGTATTCTGACACTTCGCTATGGTTGACTGGGAGAGAATGCTTTTAGCATTAAGTCCGTCATGTACACATATTTGTACTAATAAATAAATAAATAAATAAATTTTAAGTTAAACCTTCAGGCGATAAAGGGAACTTAATGGTAGAGAGATCGGCAACAACATCCCTCTTAAAATATCTCTAAAATCTTAACCGCCTGCCAAGCGTGGCAACTACTGGAAAAACTCTCCTTATGGGAAAGGCTTATGTTCAGCAGTGGACAGTGGACAGTGGACAGTTAAAATGAAGAAGCATATGTTTATTTCTCGTTGTCCGTATATTGTTTTATAATATCTTTGGTATACATCTACATTGGCTCTAAGCAAATACATTGAGTTGAGAGCATTCAAAACAAAAGACCGGTTCGGTGAACATCTGGGAGAGTATTTTCTTGAGCACGTTATTTAATACAAGTGGTCTACCCTGGCTTTGTACGAAAGAAAGATAAATTACTTAATTTATTCATACTTAATTGTACATACTAATAATACATAAAAATATGACAGAGGTAAGCAAATGTATAAAAGCGAGCTTAACTCTAAAATAGGTCTTAATACTTTATATTAGCTTTAAAAGGAAAGTTTTGATATTTTAGGTTATATTAGTGTAATTTTAGTAGGAATTCATAATTATTTTTATAATAATAAATAGCCTATATTTTTGGCTGATAACGTAACTTTTTATGGGTGAAAGAATTTTTAAATTCGATTGAGTAGTTTTTGAGTTTATCCATACACAAACAAACAATCAAATCCTTCCTCTTTATAATATTACTACAGATTACACACATTATTTCTTTATTAAAGTGGTTCAATAGCAACAAATTGCTTTTATATTAGTATTTTTGCTTTTTACAACGGTTTGATATATTTTGTGTGGTCACCATATTACGTGTATTGAAACCGCAGGCTGCAAGATTTGAGTTATACTTATGTATCGAAACGTAGTTAAGTCGAGGTATCACTGGAAGAGGTTATTTTAGTTGTTTGTGGCAAGGTTTTAAAATTTTTATATCTACTTATAAAAAAGCCAACATCAATCGTGACAAAAT